ATTCAGTGAGAGGCATGATACCATCATTATTGACCACCCCGTGCCTCACTCTGTGATTACTTTGAATTTTATTCATAGCAGATGAAATTTTAAGTGTGAAGGTTGCTTAAATAACATAAGGTGAGAGTGAGTGTCCAGTGCAAATATTTAGTCTTACTGCAGTGCAGAATGAAGTGCCCAGCTCACTTGAAAGATGAGAGAACGCACTTACCTGGAGCAATTCAGCCTTGATAGCCAATGAAGAGCCATTTTCCATGATGCTTGTGGGCCAAGAGGGCAGGAAAATGACTGAATTCCCCCACTGTGACCAAAGCCAATGGGAGCAGGTTAACCTTGCCCTGTAGGGATTTTGCACCTTCCTCCATATCTGCAGACATCTCTGTTAAAAAAGCCTCGCCCACAGCTAAGTGCCTCTTCCAGAAATTCTCTCATCCAATTAAAAAAAAAAAAAAAAAAAAAAGAGAGAGAGAGAGGCATTTTCTGTCTGATTATAGCCAGTATAGTTAGGACAAAGAAGAAACACTTCTTAGTATCGCACTCTGTTTTGGAATGGAGAAATGAACCCTGATTTCTACTCCACAGGGCAATCAGGAAGCAGCGGAGCATTTTGGTATTTCGGTAGATCTTCTTGCTGAAATTGCTAAAAGAAAGGGAAGGGAAACAGTTTTGGAAGCTGGCAAAGTCAGCATGTTCTTATTTATAGTTAAAACAATATAAAAGGGAGCAGCTGCAGTGGGAGAGAGATCTGCCAAGGGATACGCAAGTGCTTGAACATTGCCCAAGCACACAACAGACCTGGTTTCAGGTCAGAAAAAAGCAGACAGTTCCAAATCTGCCAGCAGAGCCCAAACTCAGCATAAGATACCCACAAGTCATCTCCTTTTATCTTGCTGGTTTGTTTTCCTCTGCTGCTCTTCCACTCTGTCCCCTGTGCTCTGAGTGCATTCAGTGCGTCTCTGAGCATACCCAATGCCTGCAAACAATATTCATACAGCTCAATTTGACATCAAGGCCAAAAAGGTTAATGGGATTCTCATTTCCAACTGCAGAAAAACGAACAGTGTGGAGAATAAAAAATAGAAAGCCCTCTTGAGGTCACCCATGAATAAATGCGAACAGGTGTAAGGTCTGCATAACAGCATGTGGCACCACCGCTTCTCACATCCTGCCACATGCAAAACCCTTTTTATTAGCAGGTTCACAAGTGTGTTTTTCAAACGGTAGGGTTAAGAACATCATCACATTTCTGCAATATCCCACCCACACAGTGGGTACTGTAAGAGACGTGATAGTCAGGAGTGCACGTGGGACCACAGCTGACATGCACTGATTTGGAGATGTTGGTCTGCAGTGTGAGGGGGAGGGAGGGAAGGGACAGGGAGAAGGGAGAGGAGGTAAAGAAAGGGAAAAGGAAAGAAGAAAGGAAAGAGGAAAGAAAGAGGAGAGAGGAGAGAGGAAAGGGAAAGAAGGGGAATAGGAGAAGGGTAGGAGGCAGGGGAAAGAGAAGGAGGGGCTGAACTGCCAGGGCTTTTGTGCTACCTTTTACCTACATGCACTTGTGCTGGGTGTTGGCCAGTCCCAGAGGGATCTACCTTCACAAAGTCTTGGTTCTCTAGAAAACTCATAAAAAACAAGACAGAAATGACCAAAGCCTGACATTTACCAAGTTTCACATAATCAAATTTACCAAGTTTCAAAAGTGACTCAACAATTACTGCGAATTGCTAAAGAATAAAGTAGCAAATGATAAATTGATCGCCTGCTGTTTCTTTGTGTACTAATTTGTGTTATGGCTTTCCAATCTAAAATTGCTTGAGTAGATTTTTTTTCTTTTTTCCTTTTACATATATATATTTTTTAAGCTCAAATTACAAATGAAATGACTGTGGTAAACTGAATGGATCAAGTGTAATGAAAAATTGATCAATTGTAATGTTGTAGGGCTTTTCTGAAAAATGGTTTCTAGCCTATCTTTTTAAGTTGAAAATTACAGTTATTAGCCAATTACCAAATAAGAATGTAAAATCAAATCTGTTTTTTGCTAATCTTTTGTTAGAAATATGGAACAAAACCTGAAACTGTGCACGTCTGCCGACTAAAGTGTCTTGTTTTGCCTATGGGTGGTGATACACTGATCACATTTTTTGTTGAAATATCCACTTGAGGAAGCATTGGGCTCTGGTTACTTCCTTTAGTAACACTGCTTTCTGAACTATCTTTTTCAATAAAAGTACAGCTCTATTTTACAAGCTAAAAGTCTACACTGACTGTTACAAGTAAGAAGGAGGTGAAGAATTGAAAGCTCAGCATGGAAATGGCTTCTTGGAAATAAAAAATTATGATTCATCTTCTCTGGTACTGTGTTATCAGAGTCTACAAAAGAGAGTGGTTTGCATCAAGAATACTCCACTTATCAATCTAATTTTCTTTTATTTATTTTCTAAAGAACTACAAGATGCCCGTGCTTCATCTCCTACATAAAGCACTGGTGGACTGTGATGGGGGAAATCTTCATCCCATTCTATCTCACCCTATCCCATCTCATCCCATTCCATCCTATCCCATCCCTGCATGCAAAGCCTCCACAAAGCCTAGATAATCACCAGAGGATGGCCTGGTTTTCTCAGCACAGAAAACATTCTGAGGACACAAATCTCCCCTCCATATTTTGAGTTGTTTTTAAGAAAGCATAAATTTTAAACCACATGAAACTACGCTGTGATCAGAGTTAGTTCAGTGTAAATGAGAAAAAAGTCAGTCAGTTTACCTTCTGCATGGCTGATCCTGATCAAAACACATCTGCCTATAATATGCACCATATGGGGCAACAATTGTCTTGTATTTATTCTTGTGCCTCCTTAATCCCCTGTGTCCCCTGCAAGTGTGCATATCTGTATCTGCAGCTCTAGCAAGATGCCCAGAGAAAGGCATCTTGCTTTACGCACATATAATTATGGAGATGTTTTTCTTATTATGGTAATTACATCCTAAAAGACTGCACAGGTAGCAGCTGTAAATGTAATGAAGGCTCAGCCGACACCAGCTGAACTGGATTTTCTTTTATATCAAAAAGCAGCTTATCACTGAACTCTTTACAGATTCCTGAAACCCTGCTGTATTTACGAATGCTTCTGCTACTCCTGGTGAATTAACAGAGATCTGGTGGAACAACCAAAGCAAAGATAACCCAGCAAAATGTGTACCTCTTAGAACAGCGAGTGGGGACAAAATTCCAGTAAATGAAATGAGCAAATGTATTTATGGAGAAGTTTTCATGAACTGGTGCTTAAGGCCATGCTCTTTCATGGCATGGTCCAGTGCCAACAGATCTCATTCAAGTGCTAGGTGCACAATGAGAAGCTTTCTTCAAAATCAGACGTGCAAGATTCCCCCCAAATACATGACTGTAGGAAATTGCTGGCTGAAGCTGCAACTATCTTGTTTCTATAGCAGGAAGTTGCTAATTATTTTAATATTAAAGCTAATTATGGCTATATGCACAGAAACTGTATCTTTCAAGGGCTGAAGGAACAAACACTTAGGATCATTGATAAACTTGGTTTATGGAAATCGTAGAAGTAGAATTAATGTTACACTCCACAGGTGGGAGCACACAGCTTTATATTATCTCACATACTAGGCATGCCTCTGACTATTTCTAGCTCATGACCTTTTATTTTAATATTTTTAAATCCATCCAGAGTGCAGTAATGCCTGCAAAGAGTTTTTGCATCCTCTCAGAGCCTGTTCTGTGACAACCCTCCAAGTTTCAAGCAGTGGCCAGTCCACGAGCAGACAGACAGACAGACAGACAGGCAGGGTTGGTAAGACCTGAGTTTTGGTCAGGAGGATGTTAGATCCTTCTAGGATGGGCATTAGTTGGGAAATAGAGCATGTCCATTTACAGAGAGAACATTGCTGCAGAACAGTAACGAATACAGCCTTACTGCGAAGGCAAGAGCAAACCCAACCATTCTTCCTAAATATCAAAGTGCTGACAGAAAAACCCATTATAAACATGTGAGGAGCACTTGGCTGCTGAAAACACTGTTGTGCTGGTGAATTGAATGAATAATAGTGATGAATAGTAACAAAGAAATAACAGAAAAATTGCCTCGTCACCCTGCATATATTAGGATCTAAATCACACCCAGAACATACACAGGAATCTGATGTTTGGCAGCTCTCAGCTGCCTTCATCTGGTGTCCCCTTATCTTTCTGCCAGTCTTTGCTTGCATCCTGGATTCAGGGACAATAAGTTAGTGGTGACACATTCCCCCATGCTATATCATCTGTATGCAGAATTAAACTGGAGGAAATGTCGCCAAAACTCAGCATTTACCAAGAGAGCCATGTGTGGCTCTCAAATTGTAATTAGCCCGCATTGCAGTTTAGGTATGGAAACAGCTCCAATTCTCAAAGGGGTAAACCATGGAATTCAAATTTCCATCTGAATAGAGCCCAGTGGCTCTAAAATCAAAACATGTGAGTTTGTTTTTGCTACTGCTATTTAGGAAAGCTACATTTGCAAGTGTATGTTCAACTGAGATTAGGGTGTAAGAAAGAACCTTTTCATATTGTGTCATTTTTTCATTCTGGGGGATGAGAGCAAAATAGACCAATCAATAACAATAATTATAATTTTCTTCCTATTGATTGCTCAGAAGTCCTTAAAGGCATCCCCATTAACTTAAAGATAACTTGAGGAGATTTATGAGGTTTTTAATTCTCTTCTGACACAGCAGTAGTGATTTCTATATTCAGAAGCGGAGCCTTCCTGTCTCTGAATTCTGAAGCCAGGCCAGAATTAGTGGCGATGAGACTTGGTGAAGTTTAATAGAGTAATTGACACAATTTGGCTTTGTTGCTTTTTCTAATTGGCATATTCAGTAAATGAGGCTACCCTTCCAAAGCAAGGAAGCCACAGAATTTCCCCGTCCTGTACAGCCACACAGAGCTTTTATCTAAGTGATCATGTGTCCTTCCATTTATTCCACAGTTATTTGTGGGCAAATTTATGCTGATAAGAGAGAGCACAGAGAGCCCCAGAGATGGAAAGGTTTCAGAAGACACTTCTGCTGGAAAGCCAGGTCAGGTGTTTGCTAGTGTGGTATTGTCGTCAAAAGAAGCAGCATGGTTCCCTCATCCTGCTTAATGAACACTAAACAAAATGCTTTCATAGAATCAGAAAGGTTGGGAAGACCACTAAGGTCATCTAGTCCAACTGCCAATCCATGCCCACCATACCCACTAGACACAAGTCACTCAGTGTGACTTTGCAGCACACCTCTCGTGACAGTGCTCCAAACTCCACATCAAGCTGTTCCCCAGACTTTGCTCACCTTTCTTGCAGGGACTTCTTGTTGTCACCTCCTCTGCTAGCCATTCTTGACACCTTTTTGGTCGTCAGGTAAGAGATGCTTGGTTGCCTCTATCTGCATACTTCTGTGGAGCAGTGCATAGCTCGCTGATCTGTGAAGCATTCAGGGGAAACACCAATGAGAGAAGAGCTTGCATGTAATCAATTCCTTCTTTCCAAACCTCAAGTTAAAAATAGAAATGCATGCCCAGATAAGAGATAGTAGTATGAATAAATAATTGTTTTCTCTGGAACTGAACACCGGCCCCCAGTTTGTCAATAGTATATTGCTTTAATTCATAAAGGACCAGAATGATAAGTGACCTCATTCGTAGGTAAATGAAACTCAGATACATCATACAGACAACATCTTCAGATTGTTGGATGATTTTTTTCAATTATACTTTCTCTCGGGGCTAACTCGTTTGTGATGAAAGAAAAAAAGAATTCCCTAAGAATGAAGCATTATATTCACTAATCCTGCCTGATGGAAGCAATCTGTAGTAAGAGTTTTAGTTGCGTAGAAAATATTAAGGGTATTGCATAAAGTATCCATAGGACTGAAGGAAGAAGGAATGGGAGAAATCTTCACACTTTGCTGCTTCTAACACTGGCTGGACTACGCTACAGGAGGAAGTACTGCAGACTGTGTTTTATCTCAGATTGTGGCAGATCCCCAGAGCTGAACAGTCTAAAGACTACCTTAAAAGAGAAGTGCTTATCCATAACAGACATACATGTGAAATGGTTTGTAATTGTGCTGAGTTGCCTGGGTTACCTGAAGATGCCTTATTTTTTACAACAGTGTAATATCTAAGGGGAAGTGTTGAGCAGCAGACTCCTCGAATACTGTGTCCCTGTTTGGCCTGATTTTTCTTCTTAATTCCATCTGTTATTCAGAACAAATAATACATATGAGAAATGTCTTCTTTCCTCTGCCTTTTCAGTTTCTTTCTAGGTCAAATTTTCTATAATTACCTTCATTTTATACAGTAGTTCATTTATCTCTTTCCATTTCATTCTGTGAACAAATTATGACTTGTTCAAGAGCTACCCATTATGAGTGTGTGGTGTTTATCCAATGTGCTTCATTATTATTTCAGTTCAGTAGGAGGTTCTTCTGCTTCTGAATTATCTGAAAATAGCTTTACTTAATAGCTACTATGGATATAAAAAATATATGATGTTTTACCTATCAGAGGAGCCATGCATGGATTGAGCTTTTTATTTTAGTTGTCACATTCATACTCACAACGAATTTCTGCCTCTGAATCATTTTAGGAATAAAATTTCTCTCATCAATATGCAGGATAATTGTATTAAATAGTAGCAAATATTGGTGAAAAAAGCAGTGATGTAATCACTGTAATAAACTGCCAGATATTTCTTATCTGCAAATAACTTACCTGTCTACTAACGGTGCATCTGTAGCTTGCTTCCACCAGAAGGAATTTTTAGATTTTATAACATCAGAGCTGTCTGCCTTTATTTTGCACACATCTATTAGCAACTTGGAAAGAATATCCCTTTCCTAGTGTCTGCCTTCTTTTTCTGCCCAAACTATCTTTCAACATACAGTAAATCATCCTCTTAGGAAGCAGACGGCACTGACAGACTGAAAACTTCAGAAGCTTTCACCTGAGCTTTTCTACATCAGTGTAACGCAGCTATTGGCCATGGAAGTGGCTGGTGATGAAAAGCTTTCCTTCTGTCTCTGAGACAAGAGAAAAAAGCTAGCACAGACCTGAGCTGCCACTGGTTTGAAGCTACAGCTTAATATGCTATGCATTTTGGACTGATTTTTCCAAACAAAAATCCTTCCTAATTTTCCAGTGAAGAGAAATTCAAACACCCTGCAAAACATATTCTACAACTATGGATTCTAGAGCAATTAACAAAAAATAGAAAATTTCAAAATCTGCAGAGGAAGGATTTCACAAAATAACCATCCATCATATGAATGTCAAAAATAAGAGGATTTTCATCCATAAACTTAAGTAAATGTGTCATATATTTGTGGCCCTGGGCTTTCCCAGAGGGGCCCAGCCAGAAGCCCAGCACAGGGAACCTCTTTCCCAGCCATAGAGCAATCAGCACATCACCAAAAGCTGCTGTTGGTTCCAATTATCTGGTCCAATCACTGGGCATTCATTCATCCTCCACACAAAAATTATTTTATGGTCTGCCAGCTATTTTCTGGAGCTTTCAGATGCCCTTTAAATATATTGTGTGACTGGCACTGCTTTACACAAAACAAACACGTACATCAGGCTTGTGGACTATATTTCTCTTGGGGTTTTCGAGCTGCCATCACCTATTGATATTATTTGATTTGCTGCCGCTATTCAAAACAAATAAACAAAATCTCAGAGCTTCGTAAACCTTTCTTTGTGTAAGCCACTGATATTTACTGGGAGTGAGAGTGACAGGCAGAGCAATCACACCCACACTCACCTGCCCTCAGAATTAAAAGCAAATGTTTAGAGAATGATTTCCTTTTGAGCTTTCAGCTTTCTGTTCCAATGTTCCTGATGCCCCTCCTGACTGTGAGCATCAGATGGAATGAGTGGGTGCCTGGCTGACCCCACAGCAGTATTTGCAACCAGGGTGGTAGTGGAATCACCATCCCCAGAGGTGTTCAAGAAATTTGGAAATGTGGCACTGAGAGATGTGCTCAGCGGGTGTGCTGGACATGGGTAGGTGGATGGACTTGGTGATTTTAGAGGTCTTATCCAACCTTAATGATTCTATGATTCTATGATCTGCTCCACCAGCATCACTGTCCAAGAAGTGCAACACTGGGTGACCCACAATGGCATCCACCATGGATGGACTTGGAACAGGATGATCTTTGAGGTCCCTTCCAACCCAAGCCATTCTATGATTTCATGTGTGGAACAGTACAGCAGAAATTCACTTTCTGCTCATTTTCCAGATGCTTGTGCCTTCTGCAGGCAGCTCTCCTTTCACTGGCCAGCCCACAACCATTGTTCACTTCATTTACATAGGACAGCATCCCACACATTAACATCATGTGAATCTCAAGCTCTGCAGCGCTGATGCCAGTTTTCCCCATGCCAATAGGGAGACAGATTTTCCAAGCAAACCTGTGTTGTTCCACCACAGATACACAAACACTGTTTTCACTTAGCAGCTGCAACAGTTATTGGTTTTGTTTGCTCTGAATGTGTCAGAGTATTTCTTTGCAGCAAGAAGCTGCTGCAGAACTGCTGAAGTTGAGTGAAGCAAAGACATGTGCGCATCTGAGCAACAGCTCCTAGATGATACAGAGAACTGGCAACAGAAGCAGCTCCTTGCAGGAGGCTATAGCAGATGACACATATAGCTTTCTCATATGTAAAGACATAAACATCTCCTTTTAGAGGCAATCTAAGCTACACACATAGGGAGAGTAACAGCAGCTCCATACAAGACATGGACACAGACTTTTATTATCCCACAGCAGTACAACTGTGATACTGAGCATTGCATCACTGTACACAAAGTTGACATCTGCACCTGGTATGAATGAAAATGACCAGAAGGCTCCATCTGGTCACTGTGTGGATGCAGGAGGCATGGGCAGGCATCCCAAGGGAGAGTCACCTGTAGGGCCCCACTGTTTCTTTCTGGATTTTCCTTAAATAACATTTTGATGCTATGATCTGGCTACAGTGATATCTTCATTTATTTTCTATAGGAAAGACAGTACAATTCTCTTACATAGTGACATGCACGTTAAACTTTACTGTGATTGTCATATGGCTGCAATAAGATGCATTTTCATGAGGAGCTCAGTAATTAAGGGGTTGCCCTGCTGAGACCTTACTGCAAAACCTGGGCAAGTATTGGTTAAAGCTCTCTCCTGCTCACAGCATTTCATAAATACACTTTTCAGGGGTGAGCACATAGTTGTTGTCTCAAATACTGCCAAGTTTAATGAGTGAACACCCTTCTCCTCCCCAACCTTACCTTCCTCCCCCATTTCAGAGAATCATAGGGGTTGGCTTGGGTTTTGCTATTCCAAGTCCCTCCATGCCCTTTGCATGTCCCATCTACAGCACTGAACGCTTCTAATGCTAATTTGCAAAGTAGTGTTTTCTAAACTACTGCAAACAAAACTATGGGAAGGATGAAAATAATTAGCTGTGTCTCAAAGCCTAATATATTTGCATTGTTTAGACAGAGCACTTAATCATTAGTTGGGCCACAATCTGTTGTGTGAATTTGGATTATTACTAATACGGCTGAGCAGAAGGTTATTAATTACATGTAAATGGAGTTTTTGATATTATTGTTATGGAGAAACTGAATGTTATTAATTACATTACAAGGGTCTCACAGGATCCCTGTGCCAATACTGTGTGTAGAGCCATATTTAAATACCATTTACTCTTAGATGCTTTTGTTTCTTGTTCAGAATGAAGGAATTCAAAGCAGGCAAACAGCACAAGCCAAAGCCCTGTTCCAATTAACACTCCTGAAGCTGTGAGTGATATTTAATGAGGCTGTAGGGAAGCTGCCTTTTTAAAGGTTTTTAAAAATAGAGTAAACTTTTTAATGAAATAGATGGTCTGCTGCAACATCACCTCCTTGGGCTGGGACTTGGCAAAGTGGTTCCCAATGCTGGGCGCAGATCCCCAAAGAGGACATCTGAGAGAGGGGATCAGATCCCAGATCTAAGTGGTGCAGAACTTCCAAGTGTTTTTTGTTTTTTTTTTAATGGCTTTTACTTACATAAAAGTTTGAGGCACTATTTACTGTTTTTACTTGAAAATGCAATTGTTTTAATTCAGAGGAATTTTGCATGGGAATTGCATTGTAGTTTTGACAGTTAAATTCTGTGAAATTTGCAGTGAAGACTCTGTTATGCTACATTTTGTCCCCATTTGTCTTATATACCATTGCTTTGCCTTTGGCACAATAAAAATTATCTTTAAAAACAATGCCAGAAATGGATTGACTTTGACCTTCTGAGCATCTTGTCAATAAAATAAGAATGATAAATCTGTTTCAGAGTGCCACTGGCATAACATTAGAGTGATAATTCAAAAAGCAGCATTTGAAAAATGGTATTTTGGGGAGGGTTCTCATTCTCTGTCAATAAATATGCTCTATTTACAGTGCAAAGGGGTAATTCTGCTAACTGCCATACTTCCTCTCAAAACCAAGTTGTGCAGTCCCCTGTGCTCTCTACCAGCTACATCACTGTTAACAATTAAAGATTACTTCAGCAAGAAATGAGCTGAGACTTCTGTTGCTGATGTGCACAGCAGTCCAACTCCACCTCAACCTCCTCTTGTGCCCCACTCTACAGTGCTGATACAGCCACAGTGGGTTTTGCAGAAAAGGAATAAATGGTTGCTAACAAAGAAAAGGCTTTGTTTTTCTACATGATCAGCTTTTGCTAACAAACAACTTCAAAAAAAAATAAATGACTGGAAGGCTTCCTTTTATGAGGTGATAAGAAAATACTGAATATTCTGCACTGAATCATGAGAAACATGAAAATAAACAGAATGGGAATGTAAACAAACATACAGTGAGGGGCAGCAGTTTAGAGTCAAACTTAGTGATGCACACACAGGAGCTGTGATGTGCCTGGCTTTATGGGTACCTGCCTGGGGCGAGTCTGACCTGTGGCTCCAATAGTTGCAAGACTAACTCAAGCTTATTTCTAAAGAACACACAGTTGGCTTTTCTCTTTTTAGTATTTCTTGTTTTCATTATTTTTATAAACATGTATTTAAAAGCATGTGAATCACGGAATCATAGAATGATTTGGGTTGGAAGGAACATTAGAGGGGGACAACCACATCCCTTGCATCGCTGCCACCCCTCTTTTGATGCAGCCTGGGGCACAGCTGGCCTTCCAGGCTGCAAGAGAACACTGCTGGTGATGTTAAGCTTTTTTTCCCCACCAGTTTGACCTTCTAATTTTATATGGTGAAATACTAAATTCCATAATTTCCCACTGTTAGCCTTGAAATCCAAACCAAATCTAAACATAAGTATCATAGAATGGCTTGGGTTGGAAGGGACCTCAAGGATCATCAACCTCCAACTGTCCTGCTTCATGCAGGGGCACCAACATCCATATCTAATACTAGACCATAAAGTAGATACACTCAAGTGATTTTAAGTGGTTATTGCCAGAATCCAGCTATGTTCTTTGATCTTTGTCCTGTCTCACCTTTCAGCTCCTGAGTGCTCCCCAGCTGGACATCGCATCCTCCGCAGCCCATACCGCAGCACCAGGTTTGACTCGCTGGAGCTGCAGCGAACGTCTGCTCAGGTCCTGGTGTGTGACCACTCATTGCCACCAGCATGGTATCGGTTCATGATCAACAACACGCCTGCGGAAATGCCAACGAGATGCATTGAAGTCAGTAAAAATTATGCAATAACCTTGGTGAATGTGAATGAATCTTTTTCCTTTCCAGCCACCTCTATACCCTCATAGCCAGTAGAGTGCAATGGGGAGTGGGAGGTAGTGGGAAAAGCCCTTTCATATATCACCACTCTGAAAAGAGGACAGTTTTTTTCTGGTTTTATGTGCATTGAATATATGTGACAGTAATGTTTAATTTGCAGTCAATCATTACTGCTCCAGTAACCTGAGACCCTAAGCAAAGTTGTTACCATATCACATAGCCCAGTTGCAGGAGGTTAGAACAATTTCAAACAAACTAATTCAACAAAACTATTCAGAAAACAATGAACTAGTTACAGTAAATGACTTTACAGATGATATATTCAATCTAGAGTGCCAGGAAGTTTAATTTGAGGTGATGCAAACCCTGCTGGAGAACCTTCATGAAATTAACAGCCATACAAAACAGACCTGTGAACTTGTCATAACGGGTATATCTTCATAATCTAACATGAAATGAAATGTTAATAGGTAATTGTTGCTTGCGTGGGATTTCTAGCTCTCTGCATACACAATCCATAAATCTAATTAATGTGAACAAATTGACATGATTATTATTGAAATATGCATTCAATGGCAGTTATCCTTGAAACAATATCCCAGTGCACTATCTGGTTTATTTTTAAAAAATTGTTCTATAAGTGTGTATGCATTCTATAAAATTATTTAATTTGTCACTGTATTTCAGCATTTTTCAGTATGTAGCAATTCTTAACTGCCTGATATTTTTTTCTGACAATGTATTCTTTGTTTCTTCTAATCTCTTCTGTGGAGTGTGTTATTCAGGTTTGTACAGCTATATTCATTAGTTTAGTTCTTTATCTTATAACATAATTCTTACCATTGGTTTCTTCATTATGGTCCAAATGACAGTAAATCTGTTTTGCTGTTGAAGGATTACATCTGTTAGATGTCGCAATTGGAAGAATATGCTTCTTTCAGATCTTCACCTTCTAAGTCTGCCTCCACGTTCCATCTCTTCCACTTAATTAAATCATTGTTTAATTTGGTTTTCCATTTAATTTGAGCAAAAACCTCTGGAACAAAATAATTTAAATTAATAACTGCACAGCTTCCACTCCCTAATAAGCAGTTATTATTGGGCATTCTAGTCTCTGGCTGGAGTGAGCTGATTTTAATTAAACGAATCAAAGACAAAATCCTCAACAGACAGAAGAGAAAGGCACCAAATAAACCCTGACAGTAAAGCTTGGAAGTTAAAAAGTGCATTACTCCAAAACCTTGTAAAATATGTGTCTGCTGTTATTCTGTTGATACTAGCTGGATGCAATTAGCTGGTTATCAATAGATAAGATTAACTTCTTAATTCAAAGCCATAGTAGGTAAGGATCTTTATCACCCAACTAAGCTCAAAGGGGATTTAAATGATAACAGAGATTTAGAAGTCCCTTCCTGACTAAGAGACAATTGCAGGAGGAGAAACATCTCATGATGGGTGAGCAAATGGGAGGTTACAACCACAAAATCTGAATCTTGCCACTGAGCAGCTCTACAACAAGAAAAGAAGATACCCCTATACTGTTGAGTAGCCACAAAAAGCCTTGTGTTCAACAGAGGGCAGAACCAAGTCACAAACAGAAGCAAGGAAAAACACTCTTAAGAAGCACCTTCTCACCCAGTAATTAAAGCAAGTGGAAAACAAAGGGGATTGTGTTCCAGAATTCTCCATGCCTGGAATCCAAGTGTGGTCCTTAAGCATTTCTTCTTCAAGTGGGGAAAAACTTTAGATTCAAGTGGATTACAAACTTAGGCCTAGTCCTGTTGAATTATCCTGGGGGAGCGGAGAAAGATCCTCACCTTCCATCTTTGAATTACATCGAATTACAGAACCATCAAATATCCTGAGTTGGAAGGGACCCATCATGATCATCAAGTCCAACTGCTAGTTCTTAGTTGCCTTTCCCCCTATGCTTCCAAAGAAGGCACAGCAATTGCAAGGTCCTGGGCATGCAATCTTGGCCACAGCCACTTCCCCATCCAACAACAAATAGTAGCAAAAAGCAACACAGACTTGCGTATTTTGTATTCCCAGGTATCAAAGCTATGGCCTACTGTTCAAAAACAATAAATTGTTTTTAAACAATTGCCAAATTCGCTGTAAAATGAAACAAACGAACAAACAAACAAATCTTAAAAGGAAGAAGGGCTACCCCTTCAAGTAAAGGCTTGTAGATAAGCCTTTACTGAGTTTAAAGATGGTAGCAACATGCTATTCAGAGAAAATCTATTTAAAAAAATATAGAGATGTATTTAAATACCCATGTGGGAAAGAAAATGATATCAAGCACAGAAACAGGCTTCCAAGTAAGAGTAATATAGGGTGCACACATACGTCTGCATGCATAGATTTACACATACAGATGGGAATGCCCTATGAAAGGAATCAATACTACAAAGAAAGGAGAGAGAACACAACCTTCAGATAAGAGATCACTCTGTGGGTTACAGAGGAGCAGCACATTTTGCTACCTGAATGCCCACAATTGCCCACAATTCACAGCAAACCCAGAAATAGAGCTGTACCTTCCTTCCTCTTGTTTACACAGGGGTAAAAATGCATAGATTTCACTGCAATCTTAAGGAAGAATGTCAATTAAGAATTTGATTATGCAAATAGTAATTGGATCAGGAGGCAGCAATAATACTCCTGGTACTGCATGCATGAGTTGGATTCATCACTTCTCAAAGCAACGCTAATATTGTCAGCTCTGGGTAATCGATTGTAAATAGAAAATGATAAGTTGAAAAGAAAGGGATTAAATCCAGACTCACCACTAGCACAACTATCAGTAGCACACATTTGTCCTCTGAAATTGAGATTTTTAATACCCGTGCTGCAAGGATGTATCTACAGCAGAACTGCAGATGTCCCACTCTATGACAGCATTTTGGAAATGCCCAGTAACAACACCTACCCGTCACATCAAGATTACTCCCAATATCCTCCTTCAGAATTTTCTCTCTCATTTTTCTCTCTTTTTCTCTCATTTAAGCAAAACTATCTCCAAAATTGTGCATTTAAGTTCATGTACAATTAGTATACGTGGCGAAAGGACAAGCAGTGTTTTCAGGGTTGGTGTTTGCTCAGCAGTTGCATATGTAACAATATAAATTTTCTTTTATTACACATAAATAGTAGGCTGTAACATGGGCTGACACACTAATCTTTGGTGTATCAAACACGGACATTTTAAGTATGCCAAACATAACCTGCCAATGATGCCTGATATTGTAGCCCCTGGAGAAGAAGATTTATTTTTCCCGTGCTCAGTGTAATTTCCTCCTCTACTTAACCTGTTGTAGAACATTTTATAATCACAACCAAACTAAAATATTTCAACTGTATGCTATTATTTTTTATTTTGTTTCAGTTTTTATTTTGCTCTAAATCCAGTCCCCCTTCAATATGCAATTTTTTTATGAACTTAAAAGCAAGTAACACTATCAAGGTATTATTTCATGTTTTCATCTGCAATTCTCTTTCTTGTAAGTATACACGAGTACTTCAACATCATAATGGTAGGTATGATGAGGTTTTGTTTTTCTAGTTTGTTTTTCTGACATGCAAAAAGCATTCTGTAGATAAATTGCAATTACAGTCTCTATTGTTCAGAAGCAAGTACTTAAAAGAAACACAAGACACACAGTGGCTTAATTGCTACTACAGATATTCCTGACGTAAACCAATTTCTGTGGCATTCAGCCTGAGATTTCAATTAAAAAAAAAATCTTATTTACTTTAACTTACTACAAAGAAATTGAAAAAAAAACAACTGAGGCAAAGTAAAGTTTTGAGTGGATAACAGATGCAAAATCACAATGCTTTAGCAGTCAACCAACAATATACCAAAAAACCTTCTTTCTCGCTAACTAAAACAATGCATTTCTCACATATGGTGCTATTTATTTTTAAAAGCATAATTTCAGTGCAATACCCAAGTGACAAGAACAATCAAGCTTGATTTCTTTGTGCAATTATAAAGAACCTCAGAGAGTTCCATCAATCAAACTAGTTGATTGTCCAAACTCCAACTAAATGGAAGGAGACATCATTGGATTACACAGTAATGGTTTGTCCCATAATTATTGGCAACAGGAAACAAATTTAATTTTTTCATTTAGGCTTAGTGAACCAAATTATTTAAAAGATTAGCTGGTGCCTAATTGTGATGCAAAAATACCTAATGAGTGCTTACCTGCCACAAAAAGGTGTTGTGAACATTAATTAGGGCATGTTTATAAAACTCTTTGAAGATCAAAACCAGCGCTTAACTACTACTAGATAAAGTACAAAAGTACACTGAACACTCAAAAAGCCTTTCAACTGCATAAAAACTGCTTTTCTGTGTGCTAGAGAAGCTTTCTTTTGTCTAACCAGTGTCACAGAGTACCTAGAGATGCAACAAATGACCTAGATTTGGGGTTAACAACAATACAGTTTATGTCACTAACTTACCATTACGTTGGCAAAGTGCAAGTCCAAGTAAACGCATCAAATGAAGTAACCAAACATACCTTATCCACTATAGGGAATTTTAATCAGGCATCCATTAAGATTCACATCCTCAAAACCATATGAGAGAATTTATAGGGAGAAGACTACCTACTGGTAGACCTACAAATGAACTCAGAAATAAAAGGACAAACTTTGGGCAGTATTGCTCTACCATACCTTAGTTTTCTTCCTGCTGCATAGCTCGATTTCAAGGGAGAAATGCTGATATTTTCCTCACCACAGCACTAGTGCTGCCATGTGCTGTAAGTGATGCAGACTGCTTGGATAACTCCAGCAAACCCATGGTCTGATTCCCACCATTGACTCCTCAGCAGACAAACTGCTGCCTGCAAGAAACTTTCAGAGTCTGCTCTGGTGTGGAGGCAGCTGTACAACTCTCATTCTTCATTTCAGAAGTGTTGCTGAATTATGGTGTGAGATTCCCACGGCTTTTTTCTATTCTTAGAGCAGCAATGACTGTAGTTATTGCAAGTAAAAGCTATGCCTTAAATGCCAATCTTTTGCTACCTCTGTATTCAATTTTCTGTTTACTCTCCCAAATGACTGCTTCAACATTTACTGCTAATTATGCCACAGCTGGAACCCGAACATTTTGGCTCTTTGAAATCTCTCCTCCTAGACATTTTTCCCTTTTTTCCTTTGTTTTATTCTGTTCTTATCTGTGCTGCTCATTGAATACATGAATATACAATTGCCCTTGTCTTCCCAGCTCTGTTTCCTAGTTCACAGAGGCCTTGCACAGCAAATCCTTTTGGCCAGCATGGGGCAACTTGCCCAACTAAGGTGGACAGCATGCATCTCAAAGCAGGAAGTGAACTTGTTGGCCTCATAAAGCTGCTGGGAAAACACAAATTCTTGATCTATACCAAAATTCTTTGTTGGCCACTGCATCATATAATTTGTTCCAATTACTGTTTTCTCACAGTCTGCATTTCCTGGTTACAAAGTCAGTCAAAAGGGTTCATCATATCTTGTAATTTGTGCATATTACATAATAAACAATTTCACTCAGGTGGTTTCAGCACGAGATTTTCCAGAACAAAGCCAGGGTGCTGTGGATCACAACAGGGGTTTATCGGAGAGCTTGCACACAATGCTGGGGGCTGGCTCCAGCAGGGCTAATCCATATTTTCTCAGGCATTGAAACAGTTCACAGACTTATGGAAAGGATAAAATACAATGAGGGAGAAAATCACTGCCTTCTGATTTCAGAGGGATTTTTGTTGTTGTTGTTGTTTTATTTTTTTCCTGCGTGTTTAGAGGGGACACAGACCCACTTTTAGGTACAGATTGCATTTTGCAGCCAGAATGCACTCGCATCTGTCTATTTATCTACATGGCCCACAGCACTGTAGATATACGAGTCTCATTAATGAATTTGTCTTCTCAGTACTGCTGCAGGGAAGCACTATCAACGTTCCAACAACCCCTTATACCACTGTTTTAGAGATAAGGAACAAAGGCACATCAGCAGCAAGGGGTTGCCCAAGGTCGGGCAGCTGGTGGGGAAACTGAGGCACCATGCCTACCTACATGTTGAAGTCACTTACTCAGGTCAAGGTAGAAATGAACAGGTGGAAGAGCTTGTTTTCTGGTCTTTCTAGTTCAACTGCTCCCACAGTTATCATAAAAATAAAAAACAATCTTAAAAAGTGAAGCAGCAAAGCTGGCTGGGCCAATGGAAAAAAATGTTAGTCTTTTTCTGTGTTTTTTTGTTCTTTTTTTTTCCCAATGTGATCTGTAGCCAAATGTCCACAGCAGGAGGGAGCATGTTGCTGAAGCTGAACAATTAGATATAGCGTTGCTCCCTACCGCGGGCTGAGGAAATGCAAAGCAGCTGCAGCAGACACTCTCTCTGTGGAATGTGACTAATATATGAGAATTGATTATTGCTGGTGTTTGGTTTTAATTTGCAAACCTTAACTCAAATATCACTCTGCTTTGCATACCGGTGAATGATGGGTAACAGTACAGAGTAACAAGGCAGCACTGCAATTGACTGTGAATATTTTATCCGGTGAGGATTTTGCCTAAACTCCTCATTGAAGTAGTAAAATTAAAGACAGCTTTGGGTAATCACATGTCCTTAGCCCATGTCAGGGCTGAGATGCCTGAACATCCCTTTGTAAGATCAGAAAAATACATTTGGTGCTTAGCCACGACCCAAAATGCCATAATTTTAAGTATTTTAGGATCAGCCCTTTCCAATGTGTGAGCCTCCTGCTGTGGTTGGTTGCAGTACTCAGTGACTTCAGGGACCTAATCGGTGGATTTGATTGAATCTATCAGACTATAGAAAACTGAAAGTCAAAAACCCCAGAAAATTTGAGCAATTTATATACATCACTTGTATCCGTTTTCTTCCAAGGACAAGAGGGTTAGCCCCAAAGACATGCCTGGGCCATCCTGGGAGGCAGGGCAGGAGCTGTCAAGGAAACAGCAGCTGGACTGATTTGAAGTAAGGTCTCTCAGGACAGGAAATAACAACCTTAAGTTGCTGCAGAGAAGGTTGAGGTTGGATATTAGGAAAAAATTGTTCTCAGAAAAAGTGGCAAGATATTGAAACGAGATACCAAAAGAAATAGTGGAGTCACCAGCCCTGGAGATGTTCAAGAAATACAGAGACACAGCATTGAAAGACGTGTTTATCAGGCTTGGTGGGGGTGGGCTGGGATTGGACTTGGGGCTCTCAGTGGTCTCTTCCAACCTTCACGATTCTAAGATTCTAAAGCGTTGGCTGGGATGCCCTGAGCACTGTGGCCTCCTGCTGGTTCCCTACAATCACAGTCCTTGGTGGATCTCCATTCAGTCCTACCAGCTTCTGACAAACTCTTTCTTTTGTGCACATTCTCAGATGAACAAATGTGGGACACAAGCTCCGGTGTGGCTGTCACTGAGGTCTGAATCCCTGCCTGCTCCAGGTGAAAGCAAGCACCTGATGGCCTGTGGTACCTGGCAGGTCTTTGGGGGCACCAAGGACTGCTGCTTGTTCCGGATACCCATCACTGTCAGGAACTGCATCAAGTTCTTTGTTTATCTCTTGCAGCCGACTCAAGGATGCATGGGCTACTGTGCAGAAGGTGAGGATCAATTTCATTCATCAGTAGGACTGTCTCTGTTACTCTTGCTGCTGTTCAAAAGTCCTGGTACTGCAGTACACATCTCAGTGACCTTGCAGTCAAGCATCACTCCCAGTAAGATGCAGACCACGTAGAAAATAAATCAGCCACATTCCAAGGTGCTCCCGAGGTATAAGTATTATTGCCAGCACACAATGGAAACTGGTTTGTGTTACTGAATAGCTTATGTGGTTACAGATCACTTGTTACCTTTCCTTCTGTATTTCACTCCATTTTGGCTTGAAGATGCACAGCCAGCGAGTGGAAGCATCTTGTTTATAACAAGGCACTGTATGCAGAATAGTTTCTAAGGCTTGTTCTTATCTTAAATAACCCAGTATCACCCAGAAAGATAATTCTGAAACTCTGAGAGGAAAAAAATTCCGATAAAAATCTTTTTCATGACATATATGTAATTATTCTCATCAGAAATAATTTTCAGCCTACTACAAGGGATCCAACCTCTGTTCCGTAACTAGGAAACAAAGGAAATAGCAGAAAGCAATTGCTCACTCTGTTAAGCCTTCTGAACTTCAATGCATGTTCAGGTGCATATAGATTGAGTTAGAAAAGATGATTCTTCCTCAAAGAGGAAAAATTACCATTGTAATTCCCTTTCAGCATTTTTTGGACAGAGACATGACACACTGAGAAAATAGGATTATCGCCTTTCAATTAGAAAAAAAGTTTAAATAAATTCCAAAGAGAGAGAGATAACTATGTTCTTATCTTTATCAATATTTTATCGTTCCCACAAAGAGAAAAGACAGAGAAAAAAAAGGCTTAAAGAAAGATAAATTTACTATTTTGAAAAAAGAAAACTAAAATACTGGCACTAAAGTAAATGAAGCTGCTCTTTAATTTTCATGATTCTTTCTGAGAAATGACTTTTTTTTTTTACCTGAAAACCCTCATTTTTCAGTAAGCTTTCAGTTGAAGAAGCTGAGCTTTTTCCTACGCTTGAAGACTTTTTACCAATACCATTTCAGTCATTAGTTTTGTACTTTCTGCCAATCCATACCTATTCAATAACATTAATCCACCTTCATTTTTCATAAAAAGAATATTAAATAGTTTGTTAGTTGCTTTCCAAAGCAACAACTTCCTACCACCGGTGTTGAAGCTTTCTTTTTTTTTTTTTTTTTTTTTTTCCCCATATATTTCAGTAATTCTTTAGCTTCTTGATTTAAGGATGCTTTCAGAATATTGTGCAATGGATGGAAAGAACCCAAGGCTGAAGTTCTGGAGGGATGCTGACACACTGTCTGAAATCCACTAAGCACTGGACAAGTGTTAATATATTGGTTCTCCATTCTGCCTCACGCCTTACTGCCTTGTGCTTCCATAATATTCTCTATACTCCTTCAAAAAAAGTTTCTTAAAATATCCTTTCAAAGCCCTCGCACCAGCTTCTTGTTCTCTTCGAGTCCAAGTCTCTGGAGATGAGAGAACATCATCCTACAGCATTAAATATCTTTTTATTTCTCCTTGAGAGGAAGAAAACTATCGGAGTTCATCCTCTGTCAAAGCCTACAGACATAGGCTGTATTTTTAGAGGAGTAGAATAATTCTGGGCAGAGTGAGACTACACTGAGCAAGCTCATCCTAGGAATGTCCCAGCACAGCCTGGAAAGGATCCTCACAGCACAGTGATATGAGTTGGATGCTATTTGAGTTCGCTTCTGCAACATCATTTGTTCTCATATCTCTTCTGTAACTTACTGAAAAACTCAAGTCAGAAGGTTCTGCTTCTGGGAATGCAAAGCTGGCAGCCTTTGCTGAAATAATTGATTTGTATTAACCCATGCACTTCATTTCAATAATGCTGTTCTGAATGCAAAATAAAAAAACAATATCCCACGTTTAACATTATAGCAATGGGCAATCAGTACCAAAATAGCTACTTTTGAACTTCATATGAAATACTGTGTCTTGTTTACATAGCTAATTATCAAATCACAAGAATATAAATGTGGCATTTCTCTCACATTTAGCTATATTGAAATCTTCCTGTTGAGTGAGCGATTCTAATATTAAAAATGTTTAATATTATTATTATTATCCTGAATCCTTCTGCTTTGCCTTTCAGAAAAACTCCCAAGCCTGACTTTACAGCCAGTGATAACTTCTGAGCTCGTGCGAGGTCGCGCCCACCTGAAATGCGCCTACAGCTCACCCAGCTGGGGGCTGAGCTACACGGTGCTCTGGTCACGTCTGGTCGCCCCGGGCAAACAGGAGCAGATCCATCAGGACACCACCCTGCAGACGTGTTCCTACCTGGAGATAAGCAGCAGACATCTCCAGCTGGGAGACACAGTAATGCAGCAACGCGTGGTCCGGCACTCTGCAGGGTCAAACCCCATGTGAAAGCCCCTCTGGGTGTATTCTAGGGCTGCTCCTCGCTCGTTACATTCACATCTAAAGTGAAAAAAAATATATCAAAATGAAAGCTTGATTTCAAACAGGCTTATATAATTTTTGCCAGATTTAGGACACGTCATATTTCTTCAGATTGCATGGTGTTTGTTGAAGCTGTCCATTTTACTGTTTTCTAATGGTAGCCTTACACATCCATTACAGCCTGAACACCATAAAGCTGGTACAAGTAATAGAAACATGTGCCTGAGACAGTTCTATCTTAGTGTTTGTTGTACTGTGCAGCAGCAAGAATCTGCACTAGACACAGATGCAGTTATATGCACTCAGTAATTTTTATACTCGTGGACCAGAGACACAATAGCATCTTTTCACAGAAGAGAAAGACAGTATAGTAAAATAGAGGTTTATTTTTATGATCTTTTTCATGGTGTTCTGCCTCTCTGATTCCAAATTTGTGGTTCAATAGTATGCTGAGAGATAGAATTCATTACAAAACAATCTTTAAGAAGTGTATTTGATGGCTTACATGGCAACACAGATCTAGCGTCAACAACAAAGCTGAAGCCAATACAAGATGTGGAAAAAATTGACTTGTGTATGAATTCACGGCCTTTCATGGTACTAAAAAAGACTTTAAAAGTTAAATTAGGTTCATAACTTTTACAGGCAGAGAGCCATTAGTGATGCTACAATGAACTGAAAGAATAAACAGGGATAATGGCCTTGTGTTAAAAGTAGGTTGGAAATAGTCTTGACATTTCACAGCTCCTCTTTGATATAGTTAACAAATAAGCTTTTTGCAGTTCTTGAAGAGATGAATCATTTATAACCATGGCACAATCTAGATAGGTTTTTCTCTTATTCCTCCTCATAATTATGCCTCCTGAGTTCGGAATCTGATGGATGCAGCCTTCACTTATATTACAACACAGAGCAAAAAATTATGCCAGTTTTCAAGACAAGTTTGTGTTACAAAGAGATATTTTCATCAAAGCAATCTCACATGTAATCACTTCAAATCTAGATTTAACAATCCGGAGGGATTCAGAGAAAATATAGTTCTACTAACTAGTTTCATCACCAAATACTTATAAGACCATTTTTATTATATTAAGTTTTCTGTAAGCCCTTCTTGTCCTCTCCTGAAAGCCACATGTTTAATTTAGCTGGTTTGATGAGGCTAGAATGTTCCTTTCCTTGCTAGAATTTTTTTTAGTTATTCTTTTTAAACAAAATTTGCAGCCTTTTTGATTAATTACAATTAGCCATAAATCATCATTGTTGAAAGCCAAACAACAAAGCCCCAACTGAAGCTGGGAATTCAGTTTTAGATAGTAGGGATTTTAGAAAAGTACATATTTGCCATCCCACGCAGAATTTCTGATAACAGTCAGAAAGGGCTGGATGCTCCTTTCACTTCCAGAGGTGTAAACATGAAGCATCTCCATAACTACTGATAGGGCCACCATGAAGGAATGGTAATGCCACCCATAGGGAGATGCAGACCTCGAAAACTAAACTTTGCTGCTCAGATGTGGTTTGGGCCCAGGATGTTGCAGACAACATGTAAGTGGAAGGATTTTTCCTTTTTTTTTTTTTTTTTTTTTTTTAATTACTTTTGCAATGATTTATATTCAAGCTATAGTTTATCTATCAGAAAGTCCCCAGGTAATGGGTTAATCATATATTATCAATATATTTTAATACTCAGTCAAACCTTAAAGAAGAGTAGAGATTTACCAGCCAACATTTCTGAATTTGCATTGACTAAACAGCCAGTTGTTTTTTAATAGCTGTCAGGTGTGCATTTCTCCTCCATCTTTTGGCTCCAGTTTTGTTATTTCAGACAGTAATGTTGGCAGCATAACGTTCATGAAACTATTGCTGCTTTAAATAAATCCATAACACGCCGCTGTTTCTATTTGGGCACTGAAAGAAGCCTACTCCATGTGATACAAAAATCCTGGCATTCTGAAGCCTTATTTATGCGATGGTGAGAGAGGTCATTTAATTCCTTGAGGCATAGCCATCTATAAATTATAGCGGCACACTGTGAGTAATGAGTTGTGCTAAGGAAGGTGTTTAGAAGAAAACTGTGCAATTTTGCTCAGCGCAGCAATCTCAAAGTTCACACAATGAGGAGCAATTTTCACCATACATAAACTGTCATATAGTCATTAAGGTTGGAAAGACCTCTAAGATCACCTAGTCCAACTACTGATCCATCCCCAAAATGCCTACTACTCATGCCCCTCAGAGACATATCAACAGGTTTCTCGAAAACCTCCAGAGATGGCAATAAACTATGATAGTAATTGCAAAAAAAAAAAAAAAAAAAAAAAAAAAGTGTTTTACTTAAATATTTGCTTAAACAGACTGGGCATTTTGTAGGACACTGCAATACATCAAAAACGTGCAACACATCAAAAATCCAGCCAGAAGACCATAAATGAGTACCTTGATGTAGAACAGAGCTAATTTTCACACTCGAGAAAAAAAGGAGTGAATTTTCCCAGTGCTTAAATATGAAATCGATCCCAGCCATTGGACTTAGCACAGCAACAGAAATAGGAAAAACTACCTTTTTGTAGGTTACACCTCCTCTTAAAATTTACTTCTGAATCTTCAGGCAGAGAGTGAAGAGCATTTCCACAGAAACAGAGCTCCAGGTGGGCTTGGAATGACGGTAAAGCAGTGACAAGCAGAGCTTCTAAGGAGCTATCTCACTGCTCCCCTGGAATACTTACCTTCAGCTCTGCTCCTCCTTTCTCCTCTTACTGGCTTTGAAGCACAGCTGCTCCCCATAGAACCACTCATCCAGTCCTGGCCCATTGGCGTTAAATTGAGCAGAATAGGACATTTGGAGGCCTTTCAAGCCATCACCAGACACCTTTCACCTGTCAAGATCAATTTCCTGCCAATCCTTCTCTTGCAAGCCATCAGTGTGCATGAGAGGCTCTATCTTGCTGCCCCTTGACTGCCTTTTGACATGGGCTGCGCAGCTCCAGTTCTGGAGTTAATAGAGAAAATTGTCTCAGTCTTCCATTCTGGCAGCACACAGACATCCCTGTCCAGTCAATGGGCACAGGTATCCCAAGTGCTCATCCCTCATGTTGAGAAGAGAGTTCTCCACAGATGGCCAGTGTTAATTACCAACCTGAGCAGCTTCAGTTCCCCTGCCTCTCACAAGACTGGCTGTCTGGGTCAGAAACGTGCTTCCATCCACTCCCAGTACTCCAACCTGGCAGCTCCCCTCATTTTGGGGACAAGTGTCACTGCCCTGGGAGGAAGCTCTCACTGCACGCTCAAGCTCCCATAGATGATTCCTGCAATGCATTCAGAACTAATTAGAGATGTGGAAAAGAGTGAAAAGTAAGGGTCTTTTTTCTTTTTGAAATGAGTAGAAAGGACAAATTTGGAAGAAATTTACACTCAAGAAGCTTTGAAAAAAGTATGATGATGTGCAAGTTATTAAGGGGAAATTTGCTAAAGATGGTGACAGCTTCCAGAATTAAAATACTCTCCCATCATTTCCCAGAGCTACCCGACCTCCACCAAATCAATGGCTGAACTCTGCTTTCCACCGAGTATGCAGCTCACAGGATTCACTGTGAAGTAGGAAGAAACCTGAGTCCACTTAAAGGCATAAACCTGCTCCAAAGCACAGGAAATAAGGCATTTCTTATCTGCTAAGGCATTTTTCTAGCAGGAATTTGTGCCTATAAGTTTTCTGCCCTATAGGAAGATACACAGAGAAGAAGCAGCCCACAGCTGGCAGGGATCAAGTTATCAAGTGCACCCTTAAACTCTGTCCCTTTAAAGGAGATGCTGAAAAAAAATATTATTTGATTATTTTTTTTTAACAGATCTGATGAGTTTGTGGAAAGCTACTGCCTAATATGTCATTGGCCATCAGCATGCAGCTGTCAGTGCTGCTTTTATCTCTTTGTTTTAAAAAAGCAGCATTCGTAGATGGAGAAGGAAAAGAGGAGAAAGAAGAAGTTGATTACTGAGCTGAAGAAAAATGAGTGTTTAGCTGAAGGCAAAAAAAAAAAAACCCTCGCAGTGACTATCATAATAATGATGTGACAAACTGTCAACCTGTAGCTCCGCAGCCAACGAACACATGGGCTGGTTGAGCACCTCATGAGGTAAAGGCTTTACAAGCAGAGGCGCGACAGAAAGACAGGAATGAAATGTAGCTCGTGATGGGTGTCTGTACACTGAGAGTTGGGTGAGCTCTGCTCACTTCCAGTACGTAGAGCTAGAACGAGCTGACAGTCTAATAATATCTCAGCACATCTTCACGGAGCTATTTTTGATGCAGATTTTTTTATCAAACACACCTCTCTTCTACAATGTGAGAATACACAGTATGTGCAGGGAATGGCGCTGGGTCTACCCATTGCCCAGGGGTTTCTGGCAGATGCCCCCCACCAGCACCGCTGTGTGTGCAGCAAGGTGACTCCATTTGAACATTCTGGGTAAAAAGCAGAAAAGCACAAACAGCACAGCAGCTGTAAATACAGCATCTGCAATGCGGGTGTGTTGGATTTGCTTACTGAGTTCTTCTCTCTCTCTTTTTTTTTAATATAATTTTTATCGTTTTTATTATTATTTTATATTTGCTATTTTTTATGATTACCTGAACGAGAACATTCGTCTTTCTCCTTTGGAGGCAAACTGGTTAACAACATGATATCTAAGGGATTCTAACCTTAAGGCATTTCTGAGACTTACATAACTTTTTTTCCAGCTTGGATGAGAACCATAACTTTGAGGTAACAAAGAGGGATTTTTTCAACAGAAAAGGAAATACTCCAGAGCAGTGGGCAGTCCCTGTCCACAGGATCACAGAATCATTGAATCATTAGAGCTGGAAGGGATCCTTACAGTGATCTACTTCTACTCCTCTGCAATGAACAGGGACATCCACAGCTCCATCAGGTGCTCAGAACCCCATCCAGCCTGACCTTGAGTGCCTCCAGGGATGGGACATCCATCACTTCTCTGGGCAACCTACGCCACTGCCTCACCACCCTTAATATAAAAAACTATTTCCCTATATCCCATCTAAATCTCCCCTCTTTTATTTTGAAACTATTTCCCTTTTTCCTATCACAAGAGACCCTGCTAAAGAGTCTGTCGTGTGAATCTGGAAATGTTTTGGCTTTACATTGGTTTTGCTGGCTCCAGCCATGAAAGTAGTGCCTGAGATGGCCAGTGAGAAACATGAAGAGCCTTTGAATCTGTCCAAAGGAGCTCCTCACCACAGAAAGTAAATCACATCAGTCTGCTGCTTCTCATGGGTCACCCTAGGCTTCAGAGAGACAGCAACTGTAAATATGCCATCTGACCATTTGGTATTGATTTATTGTGACACAAGCTCTTATTCCATTTCCAAGAAAAAAGGTCCCCAAAAAATGAGAGCTACAGTTTCAGAGCTCGCTGTAAGTTTGCTTCAAGGAAAATTTCTGTAGTTTAATCTTATGATCCTAGAAATGATGTTAGCAGTTTGGGTTTCGTAAAAGCAATGAAACATTAAGATGGCAGATGGTGCATGGGCTCAGCAGAGATAAAGGTTGCGTGACTGTGCTAGGAATCAGACATACATGGCGTGGCACAGCACATTGTGTTTGGTGGGGTTGTTTTTGTTGTTGTTTTGGGGAAATTATTTTATTATTTTTACACTATAAACCTCGTAGGTACATCTGCACCATCTTTTTATTGCAATAAGAAAAAAGCAAATTCTTCTATGAAAGCTGACGTTTTTTTCTGAGTCCGGATGACTGTCAAATTAATTTATATTTAAAAAAAAAAACATTTAAAAACAGTGAAGCCTGGAATCCAAGGGATGGAACACCTTCTCTATGAGGACATCTAGAGAGAGCTGGGGCTGTTCAGCCTGGAGAAGAGAAGCTTATGTGAAGACCAGATAGCAGCCTTTCGGTATCTAAAGGGGGGCTGTAAGAAAGAAGGGGAGAGACTCTTTAGCAGGGTCTGTTGTGATAAGACAAGGGGAAATAGTTTCACACTAAAATGGAAGATTTAGCCTGGATATAAGGAAAGAGTTTCTTGTAATGTGGGTAGTGGAAACAGTGGAATAGGTTGCCCAGAGAAGTAGTGGGTGTCCCATCCCTGGAGACACTCAAGGTCAGGCTGGACGTGGCTCTGAGCACCTGATGGAGCTGTGGGTGTCTCTGTTCATTGCAGAGCAGCAGGACTAGATCACCTTTAAGAAACCCTTCCAACTCAAACAATTCTATGATTCAGTGATCAAGGGCCAATGTCCTAAACTTGACCATAACACCCACAAACAGTGCAACTTCCCCTAATTAAAATGAGTTAATATTAAAACCCTAACAAGGTGCTTGGATAACTGAAAAAGAAATTGTATTTTAATATTTAGTGTTATTAATTCTTGAGATGGAAGCTATGTTTCTTTACTTGTTATAGACATCAAAAAATCTTTCAGATCTCAAAGCTTATGCATAAATATTTTCAACACCTAAGCCTCCAAAATCTTTTTCAATGGTAAAAAAAAAAAAAAAAAGAAAAAAGAAGCTCTACAACCCAGATGAACAAGAATATACATAGTTATATTATTTTCGTTCAACAAAAGCAAATACTGTTGACACTGTTTGTTTAATGCAGGTCTTCTGCACTGTGACTGCATTTGCAAGGGACACTTCTGAGCAGCGGTCATTGCCTGAGCAGAGCAAAGGTTTCTACGCTGGGATTAAGGTAATGCCATTGGCCATGGTTCACTGATTTCTCCAGGATACCTCTGGGTAATATTCATATAGTATCTGAGACTCTCTGGAAAACAAGGCATAGAAACATAGGCCATAACCAATGTTGCTTTTAGGTTCACTTTGAGAAAAAGTCATAATAAACTGTGGGACTTTCAGAAGGTTTGCAACTGGAGCACTCATCAGAGAAGCATGCAGGCGTTGACACTAATGCAGCACAGAGAATGTGCACAGCTACATCTGCTAGTAAACATGCCCCAAAGTACTCTGTGGTTATGTATAAATGGAAGCCACACCTACAAATTGCAGAATTTTATTCCAACTACATCGAACCAAAATGAATAAATATTTGACTTTTTATCTACTGCCCCCTTACGGCCAGGCGCTACAAAGAACATACTGCTGAGGGTAAGTCACAGTCAGTGCAAGGTCTGGGTCTGATCCTGTCCAAGGATGGGACTGTCAGTCTGGCAATCCTGGAGATTTGGATATTTGAATATCCCAGAAATGGGATCTGGAAAATCTGGAAGCCTGTTCTGTGTAATGCTGGAAGAACAGTTAAGGGCTGTGAGGCACAGGTTGACTAGAGAGGTGGTGGATACCCTGTCCTTGGAGACATTCAAAGTCAGGCTGGACAGGGCTCTGAGCACCTGATGGAGCTGTAGGTGTCCCTGTTCATGGCAGGGGAGCTGGATCAGATGGCGTTTGAAAGTCCCTTCCAACTCAAACTATTCTGTGATTCTTTAATTCTATAAACAGTAGCAAGTTTTTTTGTCAATATCCAAATTTCACAGGGAATGGGAATCCTCATTTCTGCCTGGGCCCAAGTACTGCATCTGCTCCTGCCCCAGGAGAACAGACATGCAGGAACCACCCAGCCTGAGCTCCTCTCCCTGAAGCTGCAATATATTATGTATGGAGAAATCCTTCTTCCTGCCTTAGCAGGGAAGAGGAATTGGGTGAAAAATGCACTCACTTTGCACTTGGAACAGAGTACAAATACAGAGTGCATAATCAAGAGGTAATGCTGCACTTCAGGCTATGAATACTGCAGGTATTTCTCTCAGTGCACAGCAGTAGGAGCTCCTGTCAACCAAGGATGTTAAACATGAACAAATTCTATGGTAGTGCACTATTTTCAATCTTAATAAAATCCTGTTTTGAAATGAGGAAATGAGAAATAATTACACACTATATATGATAAGCAGAAAGATATATGTTTTTTTTAAATTCAAAGAGTATTAAAACATTTTAACAACAGTTTTACCTTTGGAAAGTTGAAGATGGTTATTTTGAAGATTATTGTTATTATGGAGATTATTGTTATTTTAAAAGCAATTATCTTGACCCATGATCAGAAACGTTCGAAATTTCAAAAATATCCATATTGCCTTGTTAATCTGTCAAGATGATCTAAAAACGATTTTCTTATTTTCAGTTTTTACCAGAATCATTACAAATTGCAGAAGATGGCAAGGAGCACATTTTGACCATCCTGAGCACTGTGCCCATTACCTGTGCTGGGCATAACGATTCATGTAAAATCACATTACGGCTCAGTACTGAGGATCTGGGTGAGTCTTATGAATCAATGTGATTACTTTATTTCCTGCATTTCTGTTACAACGAAACCTAACAGAAATTATAAGGCTTTAATAACTAGAAAGGGCAGAGGCCATAAAATTGACAAAATCAGCCAACCATTTGCAAGATAAAATAGATGATGACATCACTCAGGCTTTTGTCATCAGAAATATCTGAGTAGTAGCAGTATGAACAACAGTCTGCTGAGATTTATGGGTGAAATAACTGTGAATAGAAGAACTTTTTAAAATTCTAGAAGTATAATATTCCATTTTAAGTTTTTGTAGAAGCAATGGTCTCAGCTAAAAAAAAAATCATCAATTATCAATAAGAAGTTCACCTGCAGATTTATTACTCACTAAATGTGTACTGAAGCCTTTTTTTCTTTTTTCTTCTGGATTATATTTGCTGTCTGTCTCAATATAGAAGAAAAAATCATTCTTATGATAATATATTACTCTCTTTCTAAAGGTATTTTTTTACTTAGAAACATTGACAATGCCATTTAGAAAATCCTCTTGCACTTTTAAATGGTATATGCTTTCCGACGTTAATCTGGTGGAATATCATGCTTAACCAAGGGGAACATTTTAACTTGCCATTTGCACTAAGTAAAACACCCAGCCATTTTTCTAACAAGGTATTTATTTTTCTTCCAAAGGAGGTTCAACAGAAAAATGTTTAGAGAGAGGATTAAAGTATAAAAATCTGATTTAAAAACAAAAAAAATAAAAATTTGCCAAAGAGTGGATATTACTCCCTTTCTGAATTCCTGTCCTTTCTTTCCCAGCCTCAGCCAAATACGCAGGCAAAAAAAAAAAAAAAAAAAAAAAAAAAAAAAAAAAAAAAAAAAAAAAGAAAGAAAGAAAGAAAAGAAAAGAAAAAGAAATTATTCAAACGATATCATAACACAACGATCTTAAACTGAACAGTACCTTATGGTTCCTGCAGCTGTGTTGGCTCTCATACATGAAGTACTTTGCGTTTCTTCATGGCTCAGTGCTGCTCCCTTCCCCATATTGCTCTTGGCTTACAGTCTATGCCAGTCCACCATGCAAACATTTGCTGAGCTCGTGGGAACAGATTTTCTATGATATGGAGTTAGCTGAGAATGCAGGCTGCTATGTGGTGGGATAGCCCTGAGAACTCCAAGCAACAATCACACCTACAGGGATCAAATGAGAATTAGTCACTTAAACAATAAAGGTAATTTCTGAGTACAACAGATTGGACTGAGGTTGATCCCTTGCCACAGTCTTTTCCAGTCTTACAGTATGCATTTCATTGAGAGAAAGAGGTGAGGCAGGATCTGCAGAAGCAGATTTTCAGGTTGTCAATGAGCATGATGTGTTGCTGCCAAGACATGCCAGGATAGAGAGACAACTCAACCAATTAAATAATCTCTGCAGGAGCTAGTCACTAAAGAGGCAAATTTCCATCAGTTTAATCAACACATTTATGTAGCTTAAACTAATGACCAACTCTAACCTCTCATTACTCCACCCTGAGGATGCTTCTATGCTTCACACTTAAGCTGGTGTTAAATGGTATATCTGTATGTACTTAAGGATGAATACGTATTACTGGGTGCATGCACAATCACAGGTTTTATTATCTCTTGGGTCCATTTGTATATCTGAAAGAATGCTGTGGGCTTTTGAAAAGCATAACATGTTGGACACAGTGTTATAAATTGGAAATAAAAACAATTTCAGTTGAGATTCATTTGTACTGAGTAAATTAACACAGAATCTCCTTGTCTGACTGAATCCATCTAACAACACCATTCTGTTAATTATGTAAGGAATAAGTGATAAGAAAGCTAATTACAAGCACGGAAATATCTCTCTAAGTTCAGACAATATCATAATGAATACCAAGACACAGCAGATCAACTGGAGTTCAGCCTCTGTTAAGTTTATCACTGCTATTTTGACAAGATGATTTTCTTTGATTTTAAACTTTTGTTCTGGGTTGTAAGCAGAGCTCATAAGGTAATAAGTAATGACAATAACTATTCCTTATAGAAATCTCCAATTTAATTGAATCAAGAACCTTGAAAATGAGCCAGGATTTTTCTATAAGATGTAAGGCATCCTTTAAGGGTTGGGAATAAGAGATAATATGCTATTAATGGTTGCAGGCTTTTAGTTCAGATCCTGTAGACCTCTACAGGGTTAATTTCAATTAGGCTTTATGGTTCATTTCCATAAGGAATGAAATGTTGACTATTTGATCTTATTAGATATACCATCCTAATGTACTTGAATGCCACCTCCTATAAATTATTAAGCAATTCAACAAATTGGAAAAATTATATGGAAATCATTTATTTTCATATCAGATTCATTCCATTGCCACAATTTCTATAACTGTTCTTATCTGCTGATAATTATTGGTCTGGAACAGAAAAGTAAATGCTCAACACAAATGTTGGCAGCCCTGAAATCAGTAGTGGTATTCTGGTAGGCTGGAAAGGCGGCTATTTCTTTCTTTACCCACGAGAGAATTCATAGTTGGATGACTTCCTGATCATCAGATAGACATCATCCAAAATACAGACCGTGCTATCATAATTCAGTGCTCATAAATAATAATAACAAAGTCATTGAAAGAAAAAAACTTTTCTTTTGTCCTTTCCCTGGGACCTTAGCATGGAGGATCAAGACTCAAGGGAAATGGACACTACCAGCCCTGCTGCTAGAAGAGGTTCCCTTGGGAAAAATACAGCATGCAAAGCTGTGTGAATGATTTGAATTGCCATCCCCATATTTTTTAGTGTCCATCGCTTTACCAGCATCACAGATACTTAAATAGCTAGTATCACCATAACTCATGGCATTTCCATAGATTTTTAGTGAATTTAACCTCATGACCTTGATATTTTACAGATTGGATAGTAAAGCACAATAATCTAACATAACGAAATAAAAGAGAAAATCTGTTACTTATCCAAATGTACTGCACTTATCTTCCTGTGATGAATATAAAGTTCACTAAGAGCTGACTTGAAAACCCTACCTTTCCACATCAAAAATTCTCTATACCTTAAATAGCTCCAGTTCATACCTTGTTACAATAAAGCGAGTGAAAGATGTTTTCCAGAAGCATAGATTCATCTGTTTCTTTGTCACAAGAACAACTAATCTTCATTTCCGTGTCATGGGTCCTTAAAGATAAGGTTTTCACTCCAGAAATATTAACACCTGTTTAAAGAAAAAAGCATCAATGTGTTTCTGTATGCTGTCTACTGAAAAGAAAAAAAAAAGAAAGAAAGATAAAAGAAAAAAGAAAAAGAAAAGAAAAAGAGTAAAATGTGCTAAGAGTTGCTAGATTGAGTCAATTATAACCATCTTCGTGAAAAACCCATCTGGTTTCAACACGTGTCTTGGAATGTGAAACATTTGTGTTGGATAGGGATGGGTGACTGTTTGGATACCTCTTGTCAGACTCAGTGCTCATGTTCATTTTAGACAGCCAATTACTGGGGCCCCCAAACACTGTCCTCTCAGCGTGCCAGGTGGATCTGGTGCCGGCGCCCTGCTCACAAGGCAGCTGTGCAGCAGCTGTACTAACAGTGACAGCCGTCACCGACTTCGCTCAGGATGGGAACCGCGTCAGCTACATCAGAGCCGAGCCAGTTGGACACAGAGATGTACTTTGGAGGGCTCACGCCTCGAAGGATGTAAAGGTGGGGTCCTAAATTAATTTGAATAATGTGTCAAATTTAAATTGGAGGTGTAGTAGCAGATAAAATGAGGCAATGGTAAACCTTAACCACGTAAAAATTTGGGGACCACTGTAAACCAACACAACTTCTATACATGCCATGAAAACTAACAAGTGAAGCCTTTCGCTTCAATAGATTTAGGTTTCATTATTAGTGAGCTCATCAGTAGGCCAACAGATGAATTATATGTGCAAGCAGACAGTGGTTTGGAGAACAGCTCCCAGAAAAGCAGAGGAAAGGCAGCGCCTTGGAAGTGGAAAGAAGGAAAGGGACTTGGCAGTGCCATGTTCAATTTGTGACAGTGCCAAGAATCACCGTGACACCACACACGCAGCCACTCCGTTTCTTCACTCATCCCTGCACAAAATGTCCAAAGGAAGGATAATGGGAATCAATCACAGAGGCAAGGCAGACCGTCCCCACAGGGAGCTTGGCCAAGGAGCGTGACGAGCAGGAGCTGGCTCACTGTCCATGGAGCTGTTCAGAGCCACAGCTGGGAGCTCCGAGAGCCGTAATCCCACAGCCCAGGGGAATGAGAAAGGAGGTAGATTTGACTCAGCTAAAACTCTCAGAGCACTGGCATGTCCAAGCTGGTGCATTTGAAAGAACTGAAAATAAGCCCCCAGTTAAATCTGTAAGTTCACTGCCCTGATTCTGGTGGATTTACTCATGGTAGGATAAGATAATGAGACCAAAGGAATTTTTGTCTTGAAATGTGAAATGCCTTGCATGTGCTTATTCCCTCTTCTCCAGCACAGCCTTTTTTCACACTTTCAAGGATTCTTAGAGCAGAAATTGCAGCTAATTCAATGTAGTGCACTCACATACTCATATTTTTTCTTGTAACTTAAGAATGCTCTCCATTAAAATATGAAAATGCAGCAAATGTGAAATGGAATTCATCAATTTTAATAATAAATTCCATCTATCTCAGTTAAAATTTGATCTATGGATACATAATAAATATAACTTTCCCTTTTCCCCAATTTCCCCACTGCTGCTTTGCACTTAATTAGAGGCATTAATGTAAAATTGTTCCTGCAACACATCAAGGAGAAATCCATACATTAAAATCCACATATTATTTAGTGCTTCAGACTTTTCAAATATGTTTTGTTTATCTTAAAATGGAATGGAAATGGTGGGCAGAACATCCTGGCAAATTCAGACACTTGGGAAAAGAAAAATGATTTCTTCAGCAAACGAGGCTGCCTGTGACTAAGACTTATATCCTTTGCTGCTACCATGCAAGAAAAAAGCAGAGCAGTGAAGGTTGTGGACATGGAGAAAATGGGAAAATTCAGAGATAATTCTTTACTTCACTCCAGTAAATACAAATGATACAATTGATTTCAGATCAAAAAGCTGTTCAGTCCTTCGTTCCTCCAGACAATCACTTTAATAGTCTGGGATGCCAGACACCTGTGGGTGTCTAAGCAGTGTCTCTGTGTGATGGTTAAGGGACATTTTGAAACACAGATGACATACTGCCTCAGGTGAGGAGTTTTATCAGCTACTGTGCTTCTATCTTCACCCTCTTATTCATTTATTTAATTTCACCACTTTTCCTAAAAGCTAAATTCTGCTTTATCACTAAAAGGTTGCACAAGGATATAGTGGCCATTCTTCTTACTCGCTCTGCAGACTGTGGCAGTACTAACTGAATTGTGCCTCTGGATTTCTCATGGGCAGTAAGCAAGCAAGCAAGGAATTAACAGCCCTGACCAAGAAATAAGGCTGGCAGGCTGGATATGGGAAAACCATAACACTTCATCACTTCTATCAGTGTGACTGGGAGCTCTTCATACTGCAAATCACTGTATACCCCAGTTCTGCATTTCTGGGAACTGGATAGTAGAGTATATGGCCCTGACAAAGTGCCATCTCCAGTGAATGAGGCAGTGCAGGCCCAGCATGGCCCAAGGTTCAGATTTGTGACTTCAAAGGGATTTGCCTGATCTCTGTTTTTTATAGACACATCTGCTTCTTGCATGTCACGGGGACTCTTAGATCTCCTCTGTGGCCCACTTTATGTCCAAGTTACAATGGGTTTATGCTGCAGATTGTTGTTCTGTTAGATCCTTTCCTCTTTTGTTCAGGTGCCAAATGCCGACAGCTCCACCAGCCTAGTTTGGGCCATCACCACCAGCACCCAATCAATAACGTGCACATCAAATATATAAATCAGCCATTCATGTGCTGCATCAGGAAATTTAAGGTCAAACTAGGGGACAGACAGCGACTATTGCTAAAATATGCTAATGCTACTTAATTACAGCATACCTTTTACCGCACTTCAGGCATTAAAATTAGTGCAATTTAACGAGCACTCTACTCTCTTGATAATTTCATAGAATGATCTACTTCTTCACAAAAAAAAGTTTATCAGAAAAGCTTCTCTTTTCACCAGCCAGCACACTACGTTGAGTAGAATGGGAGCACTTTGAACTCCCATATTGCATGTGATTAAATGCAGTTGCTTGAAAGCGAACCCTATTTTGCACCCACCTGCAATCATGTTTTAGAAGTCAGATTTCAGTTTGTACTTGACACATGAATCTTGCTCCTAATGTTTTGTGAGGAGTGGTAATGAAGAAAAACTGCTGTGTAGACTGTATTCATTACGCATTTCATTTTAACTAGGTCACAGTTCAGGACCTCCCAACAGGGAACTGCTACTCTTTCACTGATCCACACATTATCACGTTTGATGGATGGTGAGTATTCTGCTTTGAAATAATTTGGCTCAATTACTGCAGTTTTCAGTTTCTGGATATAGAATGCATTTGGTTTTACATTAGAATATCAAAAGAGTATTGTATTAGTTTGTTTATATAGATTAATGTTGTGCCTCAGTAACACACATTGTTTCCTTTCAGCTGTTTATATTCTTTTTAACAAAAGAACTGGAATTGGATTAATCTTGAAATTGCAATGGTTTTGAGAATGAATAATTTTTATAAGGCCAAGGTCAGGCTCCAAACTGCTCTTTAAACAAAAGTGTCATTGATGACTTCAGGAGGGTTTCTATTCCAGGTGGCATAGTGTTAGAGGTACCACTGTTTCACTCGGGTGAGCCATTATGTCCCAGTGTTAGGACCACACATGGGAACAGCCTGTGTCCTTCGTAGGAATTTAGTAATTCCTGATAAAAATTCCCTCAGTTTAAGGATGTTTTTGTATTTTCCTATCTATTTGGATTACCAAATCTGCAGCTGTACCTCTGCATGGAGTTGACAGTCACAGTCACAATCAGAAAAAAGTAGATAAAAAGGGATGTATTGTCTCAGATAAAAGAAGTTCGGTGAATATGAGGGGCAGATATCAGGGAAAGTGTGCAAAAAGTTGCAAAAATAGTTTTACTTCCCTCTGTCTTGTCCAGCATCTTCCTGCATAAGCTGCTTGGAGACTTAGTGAACCAAAGGTGGTACCCTGTGTTTTTAAAAATCTGAACCTTAGCTATTCAGTGTAACAGAAAGTTTTTAAAGTTTGCATCTGGCACGTTTGAATCGAAGTTACTAATATTTCAGATCACATTCCATTTTGTCATTCTGCCATTAACCTCCTAATGGCACAGATAATGACTTCATGAGCACAGCGTCCACAGGGGCTCAGCAGGAGTGATATTCTAATTTTGATATTCTAATGTCCCAGTTTCAATCCAGCATGCTCTGGAGGCAGTAGCATGTATTTACCAGAACATGAACTCTAAAATGACGTTAAAACTGAGGAAATCTCTTGATTAAATGAGGACAGTGGCTCCTTTAAAGGCTTACACAATTGCCTCAAAGAAAGATGTTGCCTAAACTGAATAGTCTCAGCCAAGAGATTACTTCTGCACACTTTTCCATTTGCCCTCCTTTGATGCATATCATCTATAATGTGGTCAAGCTTTTGATTTCTAAACATAAAGAGGCTGAGGAAGAACTAAGAGTGACACACAGATATCCACATGCTTCTTGGTATCCGCCATTATTTCAACTCTATATATTAAAAAAAAAGTTAGAATATTATTTTAGAACTCTCCAAACATTTGTTTTGTAAAATATTCCCTTCTGATTTAGGGCCAGGACCGGACAGGGACCTAACAAGCCATCATGTTTAGGAAGTCATAAGATTACTTCTTGGCATGGTGGAATGCTCTCAGCCATGTAGAATATTTTTACATATCTTCCATGGGGAAAAAAAGGTCTAAAGTAATATAGAGAAATTTTATTTGAACAGCTGAGTTTGGAACCCTGTTACTGACAGTACACAGAAATGTTTCCAAGCAATTTACAATTCCATTTGAGCACAGGGAGTTTGGGAGCACCCATCCTTCTGTGGCATCTTGCCTTGAGGCAGCAAAGACCCAGGAACACCTGGCCCTTCAATAACCACACGTTTCTTCACTGTGGACATTCATTACTGCTCTGCCCAGAGTAGCTTTAAATGAGCCACCTCAATAACCAGGTTATTCCACTAAGATATATCATTTCTTGATACTCAGCCAAGTTTTTTACCCATCATTTCACAGTCCCATTACTCCTACTTATATTCCCATTTATTACTGTAAATAATATCTGTTTCAATTACTGTAATGATTATGCTACCCTATTAGTTGTCAGTTAAGCAACTTCTCTGTGTGCCTATCCAAAAAAATGTTGTTAGGAATGATTTTAAAACGCTGTATATGGGGTGTGGGGAATGCAATACCTGTATGTGTCAGGGTACAAACTTACAGTTTATAGACAAAGGCTGACACAGAGCTATGGATGTGAAGCATTTCCCTTCGTCATGAGAGAGCATGTAGTGGGAAACTACCAAAACTGCCTCTGAGGTCAACAGCAGAGCAACCAGTAAGCAATATAACCCAGGGAAATCACTCCACCTAGCATCCTGTAGGTCAGCTTACCAGCTCTGCTGCTGTGGCAGGATGGCCATCAGTTGCCTCTTTGGCACCTCTTCCATCCTCTCTTTGTGGAGTCCTGGGGAAAACCTGTCATATGGAAAGCAAGAGAATGTATGTAAATAGGGAACACTGCAAAAAGCAAAGCAGTAGAAGTGTTTTTTACTCAGATAGGCAAAACATAAACACATCCCTGCCTTTCATAGGTTTGCTTACCTTTTTTGATTTTTCCACCAAAAGATGGCAAAGAGAAGGGAAAATACACAATGGAGGCAAGCAAGAATGGAAGCAGACAGAAAAATAGAAAAATTCAACCTTTGGGATTCCAAATAATAGTTCATTTTGTAACATCTATAGATATACTTTCAATGGTTTTTAATTTGACGTACTGAACTCACAGTGCATCTGAGATAGTTTGTTGTTCATTGCATAACTGAAATACCGAACTCACACTTCTAATGACAGCACTTCCCTTTGGTGTGCTTTTGGCTGGTGTGCTTCTGGCTGGTATGCTTCTGTAGAAATATTTATCTTGTCATTATTTTACTCCTTTGACCAAAAGAAAAGATGGAAAATCAAGGAAGAATCTGTTGTATTTTTCATGTGAGCACAATCAATTTCTGTATATTGGTGCATCAGTGTGAAACAGCATTAATTATACTAGCTAAAATCCAGAGAGAGCTCTTCCTTTTATAGTAAAGTAACTTCTAAATTAAACAAATGTGAAAGCCTGGTAAAGCAAAAGCATAACCCTCATTATTAGTTATGGCACAGTATAAACATAAAAGCTTTTCCTGACATAAATTGTAGGTTCTTAAATGTAAAGTGAAGTATTAGCTTAAAACTAAATATGGAGAAAATCCTTGTAAGGCAGAATATAAAAAGGGAAATATTCCTCGCAAACTATATATATCATTCACATTATATTGCATCTTACCTTAAAAAAAACAAAAACTTTTTAAAAGATTTCTCACACACATAAACCCATCCATCAATATTGTAACAGAAAGAATGACTCCATTTCCTCATAATGACAAATCCCTGCCTTGTAGGGCTTCATGCTTGTGGCTGGCATTCATTTTTAACAGCATTCATTACAGCAGCCCACAGATAAGTTCTGGTCATGATCATCCCTCACAGAAGTATTGCTCTTTCTTGGTAGCCTTTAGAAATTACCCAAGGATCCAATGGCTGCTGAAGATAACTCAACAGTCTCTGAGAACAACGCCACCAGTCTTTACTGATAAGCTCTGGAATCAGAGGACATCCTTCAGCATCAGCCAGTCCTTCCTGGGGTCATAACTAGAGTAAAGTACTTCTTACTTGTAAGGAAAGAGGGAGTCTTGAGGGATATGTCAACAAATAAACATCAACAAATAAGCAAAACTTTGGAGGAAAAACTTCAGGTGAAGCCCCAGTAACAAGTGAATTCATAATAAAGATAGCTTGGTGGCAATAGCATATTGCATTAGTTATTCTAATGCTACTAATAGTAAGGTTCTTGTGTACTTCCTTCTTATCACAAACCAACAGAAACAATTCCTACAGCATCTCACAGACATAACAAAAGACATAGGAGTATTTTTATTTACTTCCTTGGTTTGAGTGCACAATTTGAGACATGAATTCACCTCAGGGCAGGAACATGATGCACTCTTTGAAAAATACATACATGAGGAGGGAGGAAGCCACATCCAGTACACCCTTTACTATAGGCAATTAGGGAAGCAGAATGGGAAGTGCACTGTGAAAAGTAATTCAGAAACAAGCAATAGTGCCTGGGCACAAAAATATGCATAGCTCCCCTTTTGCAAGACCTCCAATAACTTCATGATTTTAGCTCCACAAGTCTGCAATTTGATTTCTCAAATGTTGTCCAAAGAATCATTATCACAATTACAGTTGTATAAAAACCACAAAAGTTTACCTGATTACATTCAATTATCCATTTGTGTAATTCAAAGGCAGTTGAAAGCTCCAATTTAGACACCATCACAAGTTTGTTATGTGCTGTACAATCTGTCATGACTTAACTGAAGGACTGTGACTTCCAATAGCGTTGGACTGGCTCCACTGTCAGTGCTTATTAAGCAGTAAATAACTCCCATTGCTGGAATGTATACGCTAATACAATCTTATTTACCAGATATACCTGATTAATCTGGATGCAGCCATTTCAATGCATTATTTTCCATCAGCCTCTCTAAACATCTTCCTCCTAGGCTCTTCCTGTTGAAATGTCTGGTCAAAGGAAACTGAGAAAGGTGATCCTTGTTAAATTCCTGGCTTCCCAGTCTTTCCAGTGTAGAGGTCCAAATGCACTTGATTTTACAAGACTATCTTTTATGTTGCCCTTAATTCTAATCAGTCTTAGCAGCAGCATCTGCACAACGTACTTAGGATTTATGTACCTGATTAGAAAATAAGATGAGGCAAAACCATTCAATATCATATCATTTTACGGCCAACTTCGCTAAGTTTTTCAAGATGAAGTATAATGTCAAATGTGGTTTCTTGCAGAGAAAAGCAGTTGGAATTTAAATTCTTGCTGCGTTTTCAGGTACATATTTTTCTATGGCTTTCATTCTAGAGAGAAATAAAATTCAGATATATGCATGTTAAACATTCTTTGTTCTTGAGCCAAAATACAACAAATTATTTTCTCATCTGTACAGAAAGCATTCACTGACTGAAAAATTATCGATGTTTTTATGACATAGCTTAAAAATAATCCTGTTATTCAGTTTAGTGGTTGATTTTTTTTTTTAATGTTCAGTTTTACATTTTCGTTTTTACTGGAAAAAAAAACAAAAATGCTTATGACTTAGTTTCCATTATACTTAGTTTCCTAAAAATGAAGTTTAAAACTAAGTGCAGTGCCTTAAAAGGAAGCAGAAGAACCTGCTGCTTTCACAGATGGCAGCTGTTGGCTTATGTGGAGAAATCTCCAACCACATATATAAAAAATACAGCCCCTATTTTCTTTACTTTTAAACATCACATGGCAATAAAGTAGAGTAACTGTCAAATGAGGTCACGGTATGAGGAAACAGAAGAACAAGGAGAGAGGGATGCTCTTGAAGGTCCTATTTTAGAAGTTGTATCAGGCCTGCACAGAGGGGAAACACTTGCAAAATTGGTTTGCTCAGTTAGAGCAAGGAATTTCGTAGAGAGAAGAATGAGAGGATTGTTCCACATCATGCAATACATTGGCTGACAATCCATTTAGAGAGGAAGCAATGGTTACAATGAAATTCTTGGGAGGGGAACCAACTTTGTTTTCAAGGGCTTTCAGCTGTAGCTCCTCCTTCTCTCCCAAGGTGTTCAAGGCCAGAGTGGATGGAGCCCTGGGCACCCTGGTCTAGTATTAAATGTAGAGGTTGGCAGCCCTGCATGTGGCAGGGGGGTTGGAGATTCGTGATCCTTGAGGTCCCTCCCAACCCAAGACATTCTATGATTCTGTGATTCACATGAAATGCCCAGACACAGTCAGACTAGAAAAAGTTAGTAGTTAGTCGCATATGAGGTTATCTGTGCATTGATTTTTCTTTGAAGAATATTGTGCTGTACAGCATCCAGTTAGAAACAAAACATATTTTTAAAGTCCTGGGAGCAGGAATTTCTTCCCATTTGCTTTTTTCAATTGTTTATCCTTTTTATCCATGCCCGTTGCCATAGCAGCAGCTCACAGACAGCAACCAGGTTTTCTCAAGAATTCTTCTACACTCCCAATTAATAACAGCGACTGCATCATCTTGCTCATGGTACTGGAGAGATGCTTCCACGTCCAGGCCTTTCCAAGGCAGGTGCTGGAATGGCTCGTACATCTGCTCCATGTGGATTCAATGGGCCTCTAAACCCTGGTTTTGTTTCTCCTTGTTTAGGCGTTACGATAACTATAAAATCGGCACCTTCCTTTTGTGCCAGAGCACGTCACGGGCATTCGAAGTGCACGTCCGTCAGTGGGACTGTGGGGGACACCACTCTGCCACTGCCTGCAACTGTGGGGTGGCTGCATGGGAAGGGAGCGACGTCGTCCGCCTGGATGCCTGCAATGGGCACTTTCGGGACAGCAGGCCGCAGCTCAGCATCCAAAGTACTGAGGCATCACCACAGGTCAAAATCCTAACGTCCTACGGAGGGAGAAAGATAACAGTACGTGGAGATTTGAGTACTCCTGTTGTTGTCGTTGTTAAAAACGTGAGTTTAATATTTCTGAATCATTAACGAAGCTGCTGTGAAAATTATCCATCTGAAGCCATGAGAGCATCAGCAGCAAAATGTACGGGAAAATGAGACACGGGGAAGAAGCTGGTGGAAGCATTGGTTTAACCAACTGTAAAACAAACAAAACAAGGATTTCCAGAAATTTCTCAGAGATGCATCAGAGTGCCAGTATTGCTGCTTACCAAACTGCTCTTGGTTCGTTCATGCTAGGTACTACTGAACCCACAGTGCAAATTTTGTTTCAGAGCTTTACGATATAGACATTGAAGTAAGTTTCACAGGTAAAACAATGCAGTCTTAGACAAAGAGCAAGGCAATGTTAGCCGGATACAGACAGCACTCAAAAGCCATGAAAATGGGCAGCAAACGTGCAACATTTTCTGTAATTTAAAGTATTTGCCTAAAAACCTTATCTGACCATAACAAATTTTGCATGATGCATTTTGCATGATTTCTTCACGCTAATCCAGTGAAATCACTGGAAGAATAAGAGTGGGCTGTACCAAGGGGAAATTACAGCCAGGAAGATAATTTTTATCCTAAAATTTTATCATCAAGATTTATTGCCAGAAGATATTTTGGGTAAAGTTAGGTTCACAGCAGAGCCAGAACGCTGCCAGGGACTGCCTGTGTTTGGCTGTCCTTGCAATCTCTTGGAAAAGATCTTGATGAGGTAGTAATTGAAATTCTGTTAATTACAGAATAGAGAAAAAGCAGAAAGCAAGCTGTCATTTCATTTTGCAACTGAATGCAATACAGTTACTGTTTTATTACTAGAATAATTGCAGCAAGAAACCCTATCCTCATTTGCACCTCAGGTAAGTTTCACTGATTTCCTTTGTGTTGAAAATAAATTAGGACACCTCTGGTATGTAAATAGAAATGCTGCCCTGATCTGAATGGAATTGTAGACAACAAATATGGTCCCTGAGTTACCACCATGAGCAGTGTACCTCCATTTGCTTACCATCACTCCTTTCTGCAGTGGTTTTCAGCAGCCCATCACCTTCTTCTCTTTAAACTGAGGTCTCAAAAAAATCTTCTTCAGAGTTCCTGCCAACAGTTTTAAATCCAGGTGATTTAAGAAAACCTGGGCTGTGGTCAGCTCCTCCTGGCAGATGGCTTGCCTTGCCCAAGGGCAGCAGGAAAGGAAGGGCTATGGACTTCTGAAAATAAATCCCCTGGAAATACCCATTCACACAGCACAGAAGGTTGAAACAGCAAGTTTGACCTTAAGGATTTCATAGATGGCCTTGTGGGAGATGCTCATCCCAGCAGGAAAGCACATAACTCAAAGGTTTTTCAAAAGGAGGAAAACAAACACTGCCCAACACTATGTCAGCTGCAGTTGTTCTGCTCTATGTATTAAAACAACTGGCTTTTTAAGTTCCCTTGGAAAGCAAAACATACAGCCAAGGTCTCAAGCTCCACAAAAGTGTTCTCCTGGTTGAAAAGAGGGCTGAGAAGCTCAAATGAATAAGATTGCTATTTATTGCAGCCAAAATGTAAATCTGGGTTCCAGCACAGAAATACAAACGTAAGTTACTCACTTCTCACAGATATTAGTAGGTTTGGTTTGGAAGAGAGTATAAAGGACCAAAAAAAATACAGAAAAAAGCAATGGGCATTATTTGGCTGAATCAATTATTCTCAGCCAGGAGTGATTTAAAAAAAACTAAGATATTTAGAAATCATTGTAGTGAGATGTTTCCAACCATTTAATGTGCTTTTCAAAATTAACTGGTAACATTTAATTGTGGATGAAAGTATTAAGGTTACTTATCCGGATAGAGAACTCCTCCTCCCACTCCCAGCATGGATCAATTTCACAATCATTTTCTTCTTACCTAGTAAAACAAAGCAAGCAAACAAAAATACAATGCAGTTGAACAGATTTGTTCTTTTTTTTTTTTTTTTTTTTAAATTTGTTTGGACCACCAATCTGAAAAATCCATTATCTGCACAGCTACTTCTTTGTCTTACCCTCACCATTTTTTTTTCTTTTAAAGGTCAGTATAAGCCTACCAGAAGTTCTTTAATGAGAAAATTGCTTTATCTACTTTAAAACACAATCATTTTCTGGGTAATCCAGCCTTGGAAAATGAAACGATTTTTCAGAGGGAAGAAAGCTGTTTTTCAATACTTGGCAGTTTATCTAAAAGAAATGATTTCCTGGCAAAGACACGAGGGTGGCCTATTGTCATGGAAGTCGCTTGAAAAATTATCTTGTAACCTACCAGTGGGAAAATCTCAAAGAATTTAATTATTGCTTTAAAAAGGAAGTCCTTATGCGGGTTTATGTTTGTGTAACACTGTCAGATGGTAGCAACACGAGAACTGAAAACAAGTTAAATAATAGCACAAATAAATAGTCGTTAATGCATCTAAGTGATCTTAAATAACCACCAGCATCACCAAGTTTCTGCCCTGAGATTTTCATTTATAGAAAGGGACACTTTTAATTGCATAAAAATGCTCAGTAGGGGCTTCACTGTTTTTTTTCTGTCCCTTCAGATCCTATTCCCTTCAGGAGCGTTCATTCGAGCCGATGTGAGTGAGTGGGGAATGGGCTTGACAGTGAGGATACCAAGCAGTGACTTCAACAGCACCAGAGGTTTGTGTGGCCTCTTTGATGGGATCAGTCACAACGACTTGAACAATGTGCCTGAGGAAGACTTCATAGAGGAGTGGAGGTACAAAGTGAGAAAGGATGACAGGCTGGGTGATGCCCTATAGCAGTTATTCCAGGGATGCTGATACACTTATTTCATTATGTACACCCCTAATTACCTGGAATAGAGATCAGCTTCATCAGACAAGGAAAGCCTGGAGGCCCATTATCATCCAAGCAGCATGGTGGCTGGTTTTTCAGTCAGCACAATGAGAATCAGCAGTTACCAAGGAGAAGTTTTATATTCACGAGTCATGTCAAGTTAACAGCTGTGTTAAGATCCCACTCAGCTGTTAAAAAAGGATGCAGTTCTCACCTGCAGTGGAAAATGTAGATAATTGACAATAGGGATTAATTAAGGGTTTGGTATTTCACTTGTTCTTTTATTCCTGAACACTAATTGCAATATGTGAGTATAGGTTAAATGTTACATTTTGAGAGTGTGTGATAATATATGTACCATGCTAAAAGTTAATATCTACTCCTCTGATGATGGTGGTTGGTTCAAAAACCTTGAACTTCCTGAGAGAGATTGTCTGGAACCAAAATCAGGAGTCCCCACTTTAATTCCATAGTTTTGAACTCAAAACACTCCTAAAAGGTGTTTCCAAAACTGAATTATTTTTTTTTTTTTGGCTGTGTACGTTTGCTTATGAAGTATGTTTTTCAAATAAGAAACAAATGAGGTGGATGTGGCCAGTTATGTTTACTTGTGAAGATATCTCAAGATCAGCTCGTGCTGTGATAGTCATTTCAATTCAATATGGGAAGAACGTGTGTGAAAACTTGGCACAGTTGGATCAAATCCTAACTGTAGTCTGATAGCTAAGTATGCAACTTAATGTTCCACTTAATCCGTGCATGGGAACTTAGCACACAATAAATGCAACAGATTTTAGACTCTGGCTAAGGCTCAGAAAATGAGCAAATACTTCAACCACATTCTAGATATATTCAACCAGCCTACATAGCACTACTTAGAAATCAACAGCCATCTCTAATGCTTTAAAATTATGAGGATGAATCAGGCTTGCTTCTGGGATGGCAAAAGGAGAAACAGTTTGGTGCAAGAATGACAAACTTCCTCCTACCTGAAGATAGGCTAACAAGCAGCTGTTCAAAACAAGTTTGTTGAAAGATCAGAAGCCAGAGCAGAGCATACAGGAATTCACTTATAAAACAGCAAGGAATGCACTAGTGCTTGGCACATGTGATGGAGGGTACCTTCAGGAATGGTATGGGAAACTGCAGCTATGTGAGAAGGGCAAGTGGGGCAATGAGTTTAATTTTGCAGTACTGCCAAAGATGGAGTCTCAAGGACTCTTCAGAGCCAGATTCAAAAACCAACTAAGCCAATGGAAAGGCTACTACTACATCCAGGAGAGACTAGATCGGTCTCTGATCCACCAACGGAGAAATGATGCAATAAAAAATACAGCCTGGAGGGTCACTGTACTGCTGCTGCTTTTAATTTCATTTTAAATGACACTAAGCACACTATGTTTTCTGCAGCACCTGAAGCTAGGATGATTGCTCACCATCTGATAGCTCAGTTTTTTCACTGGCTCCCTCCTTTCCCAAGCAGCTGAAAACAGATCTGTTTTAAACATTGGCTTTCCGATGCAATATTTAAACAATAAAACAATATCAGAGCCTCCCAGTCTCTAAGGAGCACGTGAACAAGGAAGAGACAAATTTTAAAACATATATGTTAAGTAGATAGAATATTTTTTTTCATACTTTCTGCAGTTAGTTATAGAGAAATCAGAAACACTATTCTCTTTGGAACTCTTACTCTCTATTAGCATCCAATTCGCCTTGAAATATTTGCTTTCATATCTTCCTTGGTTATGGGCAGGAAGAAGCAGCATTTCTTTAGTTATCTCGTGCAGAAGTCCTTCCCAGCTTGCAGAAGTGTATTCCCTGTAAGAAAGCACAGAGGTTATCAGGGCCTCAAGCCTTTCCAAGGCATACATCCCCATCACATATGCCATCTTCAATATATATTGTCAAAACTGTATAAAGCCAAATCTGCTTTCCACAACAGTATCTAGGGTTTGTCTTACAATGTTGACAAATGCTTTCAACCTTCCTGAACCCTCTATATTTTGGCTGCAAGACAAAACTGATGCCAAAATAATTTACATTTTTGGTAATGTTTCAAATTTGTCTGGAAATAAAGTGCTGCCAACTATTGAGACAAGAAGCATATCTTTTTCTATGAAGCTTTAGGAATTCCTCTTGCACTGCACAAATAAGATCATGAAATTTCCAGACAAACTTCAATCTCGGCTGTTTATTCAAACTGAACTCTCTAGAAGTTCATCCATCATTAAAGTGGTAGTAAATTAAAAAAAAAAAAGGAGAAAAAAATCACCTTTCATTACATGATATACAAACCCTATGATCAAAAGAAAACTGCTTTGTATCAAAAGAAAAGCTCAAAGAAAGTGCCATTAGAGGTCAGAAATGAAGTATGCCAAGAAAAAAGAAAAAGACACAGAGATCCAACTCTTAGAGGAAATATTCTCCATTCCCCAAGCTATATCTGAGTCACACTCCAGACGAATCCAAAGTCTTATTTCATGTCTGATATGCAAAGGGCAACCTGTACCTTAGAAAAAGTCCTGCAAAGTGACATCCCACTATTAGGCACTGCTCCAGCAAAGCACTTAAGCATCTGTTACCAAAAAGTTACAGTTTAGTGCTCAAAAATGTACAGAACAACTCAAGAAAGGCATAAAAAACTAAAGAAAACAAAGATTTAAGCATTTTCTTAAGTACTTTGTTAGACTGAATTTATATATTCCTGAACTTTGGGAAAGAAAGTTTATCTAGCAGTGTAGATCAATTTGTTGAAATTTTCCTCCCTCTAATCTCGCTGTATTTTTAAACCAGAATACCTCCAGGGAAGAGTTTATTTGACAAAACTCCAGCATCTTCAGAGGGGAAGCAGAGGAAAAACTACTGCAGATGCCAGAAGGAGAGCACAAAGTCCATGCCCTTGCTAAAGACGCTGAATGCCTTTCAGATGCAATCTCCTGGTTGTCATTATGATAATGTGGATTACACTTTTGCAATTCCATATCTGGATGTTACATCAGAGTTTGTCACTCACTCAGGCAAAGAGTTTGCTTCAAGAGATGATGAGGAACGGTCGCCCAAGTCTTTTGATCAAAGATCTCTCCCTAAATCAGCCAAGAAGCGAGGTAGCCGTGAGGAGCGATTAAAACCCTTCTCACATCATGCTTCCATGAAAAACAACAGTTCCCTTAACTTTACCAAGCCAACAGAAGAACTACAGAGACCAAAAAGACAAGAAAACTACTTTGAATACTCAGCCCTTCACCCGTTGCATAGCCCAAGCCAGACAGACACGGAAAGCTTTGCCTATTTTTTCCCAGAGGATTATTTTGAAGGGATTCGGATAAAACTCCCACTGGGATGGCCCACTCCCAGCGGCCTAACCTCTGCCAAAGCTCAGGAGATTTGCCACCAAATTCTTGCAAATTCCACCATTGGCTTAGCGTGTAAGTCTCTGCTGGGAAAACTGATAGATGAGGCCATCAATATATGCATGTTAGATCTGCAGCTCAAGGATGATGTGGCCTGGGTAAGGGCACTGATAGCGCTTTTGGAAAATGAGTGTGAAAGACGAGTGCTGAGGCACAGAGGTGAAGTGTTTCGTGTTGGAAGCCAGCCAACTTCTAACCAGGAGGAAATCCTTACCATTCTCCGCTGTCCTGCTTTCTGTAATGGCAATGGACAATGTACAGACATGGGCTGCCAATGCTTTGAAGACCACAGCTCTTATGATTGTAGCACTGCCAGAAGTAAGTAAAAAATTCTGTTTGTTCCTACCCTAGCCATCTTTCCATGGTATTAGAGTTATTAGGTAGAACATCTGCACAGAGTTGTTTGTTCTTCAAACGGTGCTACCAGTGAGATATTTGATGAATTAGTAAGCAGTTTTTGACCTTGAAGAGCTGATCAAAACATGTGGTTGGCTGGTCCTTTGCTTTTTCGCCTCAGTAACTTTTTAAAAATGGATTTTACAAGTCCCTTAGCAAATTGGTTTTGCAGAAGTGATTTTCTTTACATCTGATCTATCACCAGCGTGCTGACAAGCAAGTTTCTGACAAAAAGAGGGTCCTGTTCACCTTGTGGTCAATATTCATGTTAACACTGTACAGATACATTTTTTTTTTCTTCCCTGATCAACAAAGAATAAAATGTGAAAATAATTTTATACAATGTATTAGTTAAAAGAAAATAAAATTACATGACAGAATGAACAAGTAAAATGGCCAAAGCCATAAAATAGCCCCAGAACCTATCTGTAGGTACTCTATCTGAACCTACAGACCCGATTAAGCAAATATTTTTGAATCACCTGACCATTACACAGGTGACTATCCTACTAGATTTGTTTCTTCTTTACTGTACAGCCCCTCAGTGGATAAACCTAAGTCCAGTGTGAGTACTGATGGCACTCGAAACTTAGCACACGTATAAATGCCAGCATTTCTTTCAAAAGGCAAGCCTTGCCTCAGCAAACCCCATCAGCTTATGCTCAAAGTCACAAAGGCTCGGCCATGCAGTCAGGTTCCTGCAGCTTAAGGAGAATTCTGTAGCTAAGCTGAAATAACAAGGTATGCTCCTTCATCCATCCCAAATGTGAAGGAAAGCCTTTTGCTGTGTTGCTGAGCCTACTGGACATTATCCTGTTTTTAGGATAGTGAAAGCTTCTATCTAAGGTCTGTACCTATAAGCCATAGCAATATCTCAAACAGTCCCGGAGCTCAGCAGCACATCTGATACTCCCAAGACACTTACTAGCTGGGACAGGATTATCCATATTCTTCACAATAAACATGTCTTCATTGTGCTGATTTAAATGGCTTTTTGTTAATGGCATTTGCTTCTTGTTAATGGCAAACTAAAATTTATAGGATCATTTCCTACCTTTCCTAAACTTCTGAAGAATTCATTCTCATTCACATAGAGAATTGACACCAGTGACTGAAAAGCAGTCTGAGCAATTTTGCAATAATTATTCTATATATAATTCAATGTTTAACTTCATTCTCTGTGATAGAACCAGGGGAGGGGAATTGCTTAGAGCAGATGTTTAAATTTTATTTTGCTTTTCTATGGTTGAAGTACTTAAGATTAAAGGAAAATAACTTCAGTATGACCTTTCAACCAGAAGCTAATGGCACCTTGTCTTCTTGCTGCCTCATCAACTATAAACAAGGGCAAAGCCCCGAACATACCCTGGTACTGCACTGGGAGGAGAGCATTGCTCGAGTCCTCTTCTCCCAGCCTCCACTTTGTTCAGTGCTGAGTGAGAGCTGCCCTAAGGATACTGAAGTTTGTCACTGCATTCTCAGAGCAGCCTCAGGCTAAGCCAGGTAATAGGGTGTGCTCTCTCACACCCTGCAGAGACCCCAGACTGTAACCCCACAGCTGCCTCATTTGGACTCTGTGCCCAGTTAGCACTTCACTACAGCATAACTCACGTGAGGACAGCTTTGAGACTTAACACAGGCTCTACAAAAGGCACTTCTCCCAACTCATTCACCGGGTCAAAGAGTGGTAAAATGATCCATGCCTGTTGCACGTTATGTCTTAATGCCACCTCCCCAAAGCTCACACTGAGTAGTAGTGCACATTACACCTAAGAACCTGTGTTTAACTAATAGCTTGAAATATTTTCTGTAGATATAAAGTTTAAGTACAAATATTATTTTTCATTTGAGAAAACCTACAAAACACATTCATAATTACAGCCCAAGAAGAGAAGAATGGTTTCTAGCTAAGTAAAGGGAGCACAGAAGGGAAAGCATTAAATACAAATGTAGTAGAAATTGCCATGTTGTGACACCACTATTTATTTTTCTCTTGTGGGAAAGGTAGGGGCATGGCTTTTCAATGTGCGGGCATGTCTTCCCAAGGGTGCCCCTGACCTGGGGAACAATTCCCATTCAATTTTCTTTTCCCCCCACCATACCAGTGAGATGATATAGTGCCTTCTCATCAACAGCTGTCCGTCCCATAGAGGTAAGGCAGAAATCACTTGTGCTCTACTCTACATCCTGGGTATACTGGAAACTTACACATTTGTGCAGAACATAAAACAAAAACAGAAATCAAAATGTCACAACAGGTTAGTGGAATTCACTTCAACAGCTAAAATCTTCTCTGCCAAATATATTTTTTTTTTCCTATTTGTAATCCATCCACCAGCTTGTAAAGAGTAAAGCCCAGACCATTACAACACATTTCATGACAGACCCCATAGCCCATGGAAACCCCTGAGCTGTTTTAAACATGAAAATAAGGATCTCAAAGAGGAAATGCTGGTACCCAAGCATTCATGTAGACAATAAAAATACTTAGCAATTCCACATCCTAAAGAAAATATCTGTTCAAGATATTTATCCAAAATATTTTACAGGCTGCTTCTCATTAAAATGGGAGAAATGGGATTTAAAAGCAGCTCTTTAACTAAATGCAGCTTTCATTTAATTTTATATCTTTTTCCCATAAAGTACTGAAAAAAAATAGGGAACATTTTTGATCATTTGGTAAAAAAAGAATCTTCCCAGAGCACATCACCCAAAGAGTCCTCAGTTTTTCCAAATGACAGATGCGTGGAAGGCAGTGTAAATTTCCCTTAATGCCAGTGGTAACAATATGGAGATTGTCAATTGTTAGTCCCATTACATGGAAGGGCAGCCAGAAGTCAAAGTTTTAGAGTCTGGAACCTGAGTTGATTTACTCCTTTAACTTAGAGGCACTGGAACAGGTTGCCCAGAGAGATGGTGGATGCTCCATCCTTAAAGACATGCAAGGTCAGGCTGGATGAGGCTCTGAACAACCTATTATTGAGCTCTGGGGTCCCTGTTCACTGCAGGGGAGTTGAACCAGATGGCCTTCAAAGGTCCCTTTCAACTCAGATGATTCTATGATTCTATGAAGTTTGTTCCAATGTTGACTATGGAGAAGGAAGAGTGCTGTGATGGCATAGAGTGAAGCAATGTGATGCATTATAGTGAGCTCCAAGCATTGCAGTCTGTTTATGGATTCATTTCTGAGTGACCCTGAATAGATTTTCTCCATTCCTCTATTTAACAATACAGGAGCCATGTACCTGTAAAAGTACCTGATCTTGGAAACACAATGTAAAGGAAACCTACACATCCAGACAGAGGTCAGATGTCCTACAAGGAGAAATAAAATTTGAGTTCTGGCACTTCAATCACCTAGACATCATAATGGTTAGGAAAGGTCAGCTAGCTAATTCAGTACAGACAAACAAGATATAAGTACCAGTGTGAGCTTCACCTTTAGCTGTTCTTGATTTCAGAGTTTTATTGGCAATGTTCTTTTAAGATATCTGCTCCTTTTTACGTTTCACAGGCAGCAATGTACTGCTCGAACAGCATATGATGTAACATCTATTTGCAAGCAAAAGTACTGCAGTACAGCAGAATAATGATGTACTTCTTAAATAACAGTTCAGAAGATTGGATGTCCTCAGAGTCCTGCTGACGTCACTAAAGCCAGTATTTCACACCAGAAAATGCTATTAGAGATGAAGAACTAAGATTTATCTCGGAAATAAAGCTGCATCTTCTAACGGGAACAGCCTGAGCTCCCTGACTGGCAGCTCACACAGCCTGACCCATCCGCTGAGCCCTCACAGAGCAGGCACAAGCAGGATAAGCCTTTGGGCTTTTTTGCTAATAAGCACAGGTTGTGTAGGAAGGCAAGAAAAGGAGTAGAAATTAAAAACTTATTTAGGGTTCTGCAGGACATTTGAAACTGCTGCCTCTCTCGATTTCTGTAAAAGAAATCCAAGTCTTGAATATGACAGAATGTCTTTTCTTTTTATATGGTCTAAGTTTAAATGAATGTATTTTAAAAAGAAAGAAACAAAAAAAAGAAGTTTATTTTTGGACATGTTAAGGTTTAAATTCCACTGCTAGGAAAAAGTTACTTTCCTACATTACAGGAGTAATGAAGGAGAAGGCAACTCCTTTTCTTGGCCATATATTTTCTCATTAGCTCCAAAACAAATCTCCGTCTAATTTTCTCTGGCTGAAATTTTATATGTGAATTAAAACTCCCCCAAGATCAAGGAGGCCATCAATATAATTCAAGTATCTTTTCCAAGGTCACCCCATTTCAGCTGCATTACCAATTCATGACAATGCGTTCTGCCACTGGTTTTGACCAGCACAACATACACACACACACACACACACTAAAAACAAAGATGGCCACGCGGTATTTTTAGGGATCAGAATACAAATTGTAACATATTTGGAATAATTTAAAAGGAAAAAAAAAAAAAAAAAAGGATAAAGAGGGAAGATGCAAAGCATGGCTTGCAGGCAGCCGTACTTCCTCGCTCCGCCTGCCTCAAGCAGGAGCGGTCCAGGTGGCCAGAGCTATAATTATCCTCCCATGAAAACTGCAATTTGGAGTTGAAAGGCACCTCTGAAATTTGGCATTGCTCCAGAAGCTCAGACTTTCTTAATGTTGCTTAACATTTCATAAACCTCCCTCCTCCCCTCCCCCCCGCCCCCCAACACCTGTATAAGGTGCTTAAAATGTCGTTACCACCTGTAATTAAACGCAGAATCCAATTACTGCGTATAGCAAATCAGGTTGGTGCTTACCGTTTGTATATATTGACCATGTTGATTATAAAAAAAAAATAAAAAAAATTCAGGACTACTAAAGCACACTTAGAGGAATGTAATATGCAGATTGTATGAAGCTCTAAAGAGCAATTACAAGATAAAAGGTAATGAGGAATAAT